AAGTATCTGTGTCACTTTTGTTGTGGGGGTTGCTTGGAAGGCTGGCAGTAGGCTGACTCGTCGTCATGGACATGTTCAGAGCGACCGCAAGCTTATTGGAAGCAGGAGGGGTATCGAGTTGATTAAGCCTTCTTGATTGCAATCTCATTATTCGGCGCTCGTTCACAGGCGTTTTCCACGGGTGAGCGCCAACTTCACCACGCAGGTTTCTTGTGTCAAATGATGTGTCGCTCGGCAGGAGAGACGGCGCGGCCCCGTCATTGTGCTGGGCATAGGCGCATACAAAAGACAACGAAGAGGTACTGGCATACATCACTAGTGTAAAAACAAAAAGTCTTTGCAACGGCTCATGAATTTTACGCCGGATGGCACCAGACGCCTCGCTTCGCCTTAACCAGCTTACATTCATTGCTGTCTATTAAGCTGCTATCGACTATAGGTACAGTAACGAACTTGCAATAATCGTAGCCTAAGAGCATGCTACGGGTTGAAGCATGGTGTTTCCTTGGGTCTCTTGGTCTGTATAGCTATCAATCTAGACGTAGTTCTTACTGTATATGAAACGTTGTATGGCTAGAATGCTCCCTTGGGACCCTTGCCCACACGCCCAGTCAGTCCAGGGAGTTGTCAGTTGCCAACCTAATACGGGTTCAGATTACCGGAGCCACGATTTGAGGAAGCATCAAAATTTAGGTAGCGGCCATCAGCCATCCATGTTGTCAGCTTATCGACGAGCACGGGCGTCGAAAGTATTTTACCATCTCGGGAGGCATCGTAGGGGCAAGAATTTCCAGCAGGACGTGTCTCCACAGGGACACTGCAGGGATTGCAAGGCCTCACAAGCGGTAATGATGCTCCCACGTCTAACGGTAGTAGCCATAATACGGTAGCCGGGCTCGACACGTAGGGAAATATGCGTAGGGGGAGACGAAAAAGACCCGTAGGGTAGGGGGCAAACAGAGGACCCGGAGGCTCCGTTGCTGTCAATCAGGCTTCAGGAGTGAATCGGTTCGCTGTAAAGGTCCGCCCGCGGTTGGGCCCGCCCTGCGGTCGCAGGGCTTGCGAGCCTGCGACTGTGCGTGGGGTAGGGTTATGGTGCTCACCTCAATGGGCGAAAGCTGCAGCTGTCACATGCCCTCCTGTAGTGGCGCTCTCACATAGTGCAGAAACACTGCACAACACTGGTGAGGGGTGATCACGGACGTCTTCCTGTGCCATGAAACACGAGCTGTAATGTCTGAAAGGCTGTGCCCTGGTATGTACGACAACATGTATTCTTGTTCCAAGTTGGCACAGATCCGTTCCACAAATGCCATAAACGTGTCAAGGGCATAGATATTAGTGGCATTTACAACTCCTCCCCGATAAGCACTCTTCGTTTGCAATGGCTGACCCTGCAAAGAAAGGCAACGTTGCGCTTGAAGAGGACGATGAGTTTGAGGAGTTTCAGCAGGAAGACTGGGAGCCAACTCTGGTGCGTCACAGATCATACATCCCGCATCCCGCAAGCGTCTAGAAATGCACTCTCGCGACTTCAGACGCTGTCGATGTCCCTAGCCGTTCCTGACTGACGTCCAATTTTGTTTTCAGGAAGACTTGAAGAAGAAGGAGCTTTGGGATAAGTCGTGGGACGATGACAACCTGGAGGACTCGGTCGGCCAACAGCTTCGCGCACATCTCCCAGCTGTCCTCCAGCAGCCACCCCAGCAGCAGGCCCAGCAATGACGTGCTGCAAAGATTTACTTCCATGGACTAACACAAGGGGAGGGCTTTCGTGTGTTTGCAATAGGAAGCATCTCGTCAGCCATCCGCCACCAGCTCACACGTTTGCGCTGACAGCGCTGCTTCGCTTGGAGTGGCGATGCGGGAAGCAGTAGGAGTAGCGGTGAAGGAGCTTCGCTGCACCATCTGCCTCATGAGAGGACAGCCCCACCACCACCAACGCAAGCCGGCAGTGGGTGATTCCCTCCGCCTCAACTCCCGCCGGCTAACGCTGCCTCAACACCCAAAACAGCCACGCCGCAGGAGGCTCCTCGGGCTGCTGCCAGGCATGTCCTCAACACCAACCCTTCTGTGGCTAGTTCCAGCAGTCCTCTACGCTACATGAATAGGGCTTCTCCGCTACTGCCGCCCTATCCTACCGCTGGCGGTTCGGTTTCGTGGCAACAGCACCAGCAGTGGCCGCTGCATTGCAGCCAGACGCAAAGCAAGTAATTCAAAGAATGCTGTCTGGCAGAGGGACGAGGGGGCGGGCACGCAGCCCTATACGCCTGGCAGTGCCTTGGGTAGTCGTACGTGGCAAGCGCCAGTGGTCAGCAATGGCATAAGGTATTCTTAGAGCCGTCTGAAATGGGAGGACGTCAGCATGTTGCGGATTGCCGGGCTAAGGTCTCCCTTGCTGTTCACGCTATGGGTGTTGAGGTCATTTCCTGTGGTGTTGAACGAGAGGAGGCTTGCGTTGTGGCAGTGTGGGTTTGTGACCCTTGCTTTAGTGATGACCAAAAGCGGATGTTGATTGCGGTAGTGGAATGGCAGGCCTGGCGTTAGACGGCTTGTGAGGTTTGGACTTGGGTACATGTTAGGGCTTGCCAAAAGGCCGACAGCTCTAACGCTTTGCTGAAAGTAACGTGATGCCAAGGCGCACGTGTGTCAACATGTCAACGTGTTTTAACACCATTGCGAAGGGATCCGTCTGTGCATGCACAACAACCTCCACCGCGACGCCGGTGTGTTGAGAAGCCGAGGAGTGTGCAACCAACTGAGCCCCGGGGAACGCACTGACGGCAGATGCTGAGCAAAGGAGTATGCTGCCAGTGCTGGTGATGTAATACATGGTTGGAGGCAAACTTTGTGAGCACTTCAGCTTTTCAGGGCGTTTTCACCTTGCTACTGCACTTTTGTCGCATCTGCAGCAGAGGCAAATGTGAATTCCGCACGCACTCCATATCCACATTAAAGCCGGGTCAGACCGCATCGCTGCGTTACCCCCGCGTGCACGATTCGGGTACGCAGCATACACACGTGTGTCACGCAACCATTCCCCTACCAGGTACCGGTATGTCGCAAACCAGGATCACCGGACCGCATGTGAGGCTGCAAACCGATGTCACTCGCACGGCATAGACCGTACCAACATACCCAATTATCCAGCCCCACTCTCGCTTCATCAGCCAGCTGAATGGGTCAATCAAAGTCACCTTACCTTCCGTTCAGCCCCCGCCGCACCCCTGCTGCTAAACGCTGCGCGGTGCCGCCCCCTCACTCGCTCGCTCTCCACAGCGCGCGTATCCTCACCGCACCACCAGCTATCAGCACATCACATACCTGCGCGTAAATCACCTAACACCCCGTACCTAACTCTGACCTAACCATAGCCATAACTCCACATCTACCAGCCCAACGCCTCTCCCTGCCACGCCCCTAGGCCCTGGACTTCTTCGCGCCCTTCTTCGCTCCCTTGCTGCCGCCCTCGGCCGCAGGAGAGGCCGTCGCCTTGCGCTTCCCAGCAGCCCCCCCGCTGCCGCCCCGGCCCCGCGCCCCACCCCGCCCGCGCCCCCGCCCCCGCCCCCTTCCGCGCCCCCCCGCAGCCCCATCCGCATCTCCATCGCCCTCCTCCTCCCCGCCATCGTCACTACCGCCGCCACCGTCCCCGTCAGCAGCAGCGGCGCCGGCAGCACTGGGGCTGGGGCCAGCACCGCCGTCATCCTCTGCTTCGCCTCCTTCGCCTGACCCGCCGGCTGCTGCCGCCGTAGCGGCTGCTGCTGCTGCCCCCGCTTGGTCCTGTGTCGCCCCGGGCGCCTCTTGCGCCTCTGACTGTAGGATTGCCACCGCACCCCCCGTGAGGTCCGCCTGCCGCTGCTGCTGCACGCCCCCTGCCGCCCCCACCCCCGCCTCCTGCTCCTCCCCTCCATCCCCCTCCCCCTCCCTGTTGTCCTCCTGCTCCTCCTCCTCCTCCTCCTCATCCCCCGCCTCATCCAGCACCAGGTCCCCGGTGGCGTCCAGTGCCGCGTACTCGCCCGCCTTGGCGCCCACTGCGGCGGCACGCTGGGCGGCTCGGGTGCGGACCTGGGGGGTTGGGAGAGGGAGAGGGAAGTTCTCAATAAGTTATCTTCGCAAGTCACAACACACACACACACACACACACGTCACCTTTCGGCAATCTCAGTACGTTTCGCCTCGCGGCCAGTTATTTTAACACACTTCATCTTCCGACATCCCAGTACGTGCCTACTCGCGGCCAGTATTCTTAACACACCTGCAGTACGTTCCTACTCGCGGCCAGTTTTCTTAACACACACTTCGCGGCCAGTTTTCTTAACACACACTTCGCGGCCAGTTTTCTTAACACACTTCGTCTTCCGGCAATCTCAGTACGTTCCGACTCGCGGCCAGTCTTCTTAACATACACAAACCCGGCCAGTTATCACAAAAATTTGTCCCCCTCACCTTTTCCAGCGCCGCCACCTCCCCCTCCGATGGCTCCACCCGCCCCGCTACGCTGCCCGCCAGCACGCCCGCCATCCAGTCAGCGTAGGGCGGCTTGGGGCGGTAGAGGCAGCGGCGGGTGAGTGCGGAGTGGATTAGGTTGGCCCAGTGGGGGTCAACCTGGCGGGGGAGGGGAGGGGAGGGGTTAAGGGGGAGGGAGGGAGGCGTAAGGGGAAAAGGGCGAGAGGCTAACGGTTGCGGGGTCGGCGTGACGCAACCCCCGCAAGAGTGATCATTGCATGGGCTTTTACACGCATGGTGCTGGTATCAAGCAGTAACGGCACGTGCCGTACAGCAGCAGCAGCTTCTTTCCCCCATGCGCCCCCCTTCGGCCCCCCTCCAAGGTTCTGGTAAGCAAGCCTTCGGTAAGTTCCGCTTATCTGCGTGTTTCTAGGTTAGTGTCTCCGAATGCACCGCCTGCATGAGTCGGGCTATGGGATTGGGACTGTAGTTGTTTGCATTCCTTATATAAGTTTCCCCCCTCCACCCCCCCTCCTCCACCCCACCTGCAGCGCCCGCATGTTCCCAATCACGATCAGCGAGCAGCGCGCTCGGGTGAGGCCCACGTTGACTCGCCGCTCGTCCGCCACGAAACCAATACCTGGGGGTGGGGATCAGGGAAGAGGGGAGGGAGGGAGAGTCAAAGAAAACCCAAAGCGCAAGTGAGCCCAAACAGGCCAGCGGTACCCTCTCGCAACACCGATTGATAACAGAGGGGAAGGCAATCAAGCAGACAAGCAAAGACCTCCCAACCTGTCAGCACCAAAACACGCAGGCCCCTCCTCATAACAGGAAACGTCCCCGCCAGCAGCCCTGTAAGGCCCACGCAGACAAGCCACCACCCGCCCCTCCTCCCAAACCAGCTGGGTCTCTTCCCCTTCCAGCTGTGCCCCTTCCATGCATACCCACCCGGCCTCCTGCCCCCCTTCTTGGGCGCCACGGGGGAGCGTACGGCGGAGAAGATACAGATGTCCTTCTCACGACCCTGCAGGCGGGAGGAGGAAGAGGGAGTAGGGAGCAGGGGCGTGTAACAGGTACTGGAAGTAGGGGCGGGAAAGGGGAGGTACCGGTAAGAGAGGGATGGGGGAGGGGCGAGGGGCACTATCCGGGCCGCACAACCCAATTGATGGGCAGCTCAAGCCACCCCGGCCATGCACCCATCCGTCTAGCGCCCGCCCCAACCGCTCCCCCACCTCCCCACCTTTGGTTATAACCTATCGTGGCTACCTTTTGAGAGCCACAGCTACTCCCGCCGTTCACCCGCGCTTGGCTGAGTTTCTTCACTTTGACATTCCCCACCCTCGGCCAGCACTTAGCGTTGCTCAGGTTCACCTAAATCCCCCCTCCCTCCCCCATCCCCATCTGGTTTCCTATGGTATGGATTCGTCTTTGACCCCCCGCCCCCTCCCCCCCCACCTGGAATCCATCAATGGTGTTGATGTCCACCAGTCGCGCCGCCTCCTCGCCCAGGGCCGTACGGAAGGAGTCGCGCAGCAGCTTCACCTGGGCCTTGTACGGCGAGATGACCGCCACGCTTGCCGTACGCCGCAGCTGCGGGTAGGCGTGTACGAGCTCGCGGTACACCACCAGCACCATGTGGGCCTCGGCCTGCGGGGGGGGTGGGGGGGAGGGGGGAGGGGGGAGGGATGGGGGTTTAGGAAATGCCAAAACACAGTAGCAACCCCACGTCTCTCTATCCGCCCTATCTAAACGCTACACGCTCTCCAACCGGCGCCCCCTCCCCCCCTGCCCCCCACCTTGTTCATGATGGACGCCCCCCCGGGTGGTGTGGACTCCCTGCCTGCCACATCGTAGAAGGCGAAGGGGCCGAATGCGGGCTGGCTGTGCCAGGGCTGCCGGGTTTCCTCCAACACACCCTGAGGGGGGGGAGGGGAGGGGGAAGCGGAGGGTCAGCCGGGTTTATCAGCAAGAGTTGAGGGTCAATCGATACACGGCCGGCGGGTTAGGACACCCATGCCACGGCAACGGGTTGCAGCCCTGCGGTCCACACTGCGCAAGGGATCAAGCGAACCCTGCCTTCCTCCGGCTTCCTCCACAGCTCCTACCAACTCCCCCTCCCCCCTTACAATTGGGTATCCTTCTATTCCCCTCCCCCTCCCCCTCCCCCTCCTCCTCCCTCCTCCCTCCTCCCTCCTCCCCCCCCCTCACCTCTCCGTTGAGCAGCCTGCCGCTGTAGAACTCGGAGCTGGGGAAGGCGGCGATGTCTGGGTGCATGCGGTACTGCGTGTCTAGCACACGGACCGGGTAGCCTGCGGTCTGGGGGGGGAGGGGGGGAGGGGAGGAGGGAGGGTTAGGGAGCATGGTGGAGGGATGGAACAGTCGAAACCCCTGTCAAAACAGTCAAAAGAAGTGTGAAGCAACTAGAGTCCCAATCCCATATCCCGACTCATGCAGGAGGAGGGGTGGAGGAAGTGCGAGGCTGGCAGCAGCCGAAGGTAAGGAACGCGCGCCTGTTGCACCATGACTCCACGAGCAACCCACCCCCAAGCGCACCCCCGCACCCTCATCCCCTCCCCTCCCTCCCCCTCGCTCCCCCTCCCTCCCCTCCCTCCCCCTCGCTCCCCCTCCCTCCCCTCCCTCCCCCTCGCTCCCCCTCCCTCCCCTCCCCTCCCTCCCCCTCGATCCCCCTCCCTCCCCTCCCCTCCCTCCCCCTCGATCCCCCTCCCTCCCCTCCCCTCCCTCCCCCTCGATCCCCCTCCCTCCCCTCCCCTCCCTCCCCCTCGATCCCCCTCCCTCCCCTCCCCTCCCTCCCCCTCGATCCCCCTCCCTCCCCTCCCCTCCCTCCCCCTCGATCCCCCTCCCTCCCCTCCCCTCCCTCCCCCTCGCTCCCCCTCCCTCCCCTCCCCTCCCTCCCCCTCGCTCCCCCTCCCTCCCCTCCCCTCCCTCCCCCTCGATCCCCGCGCATGCGCTCACAGCACGAACCAGGACACGGGTCAGTGCTTCACTTCACTTCTCATCTCCCCTCCCCCCCTCCCCCTCCCTCCCACCTGCAGCCTCTTGAACAGCGAGCAGTCGTAGCCCTGCTCCACTGCGCGGGTGGATATGACGGTGGCGGGCAGCTGCACCGGGTCGCCCACCAGGTACACCTTTGGGGGGGGGAGGGAGGGGAGGGGAGGGAGGGGGAGCGAGGGGGAGGGAGGGGAGGGAGGGGGGGAGGGGGGGAGGGAGGGGGGGGAGGGAGGGGGGGAGGGGGGGAGGGGGGGGGGGAGGGGGGGAGGGGAGGGGGGGAGGGAGGGGGGGAGGGGGGGAGGGGAGGGGGGGAGGGGGGGAGGGAGGGGGGGAGGGGGGGAGGGGAGGGGGGGAGGGAGGGGGGGAGGGGGGGGGAGGGGTGTACCGTACCAAACCGTAAGAAACCACAGGTTAGGGCAATGAGGATAGGCGACGGCAGGGTGCCACAATGCAGAGTGTTGGATGGGAGGGGAAAAAAGAGAATGTCCAATGTGTGGTGTGATAGTGGTACATTTAGCTGATGGGAGGGGGGGGGGGGGAGGGGTGTAGAGGAGAGGAGGTTTGAGAGTCTGCGGGAGGGCACATGGAGGGCAGTCCGTCGAGGCCGCAGCTTCGCCGTCCCCGCCAACAGACGCCGCCAAGCGACGCCGCCAGCTCGCTTCATCGCAACCCACCTCTTCCTAACCCCCACCTCCGATACCCCTCTCCCCACCTCCACACACAACCCACCAGCCACCACGTACCTCAACCCGCCCCCCCCCCCCGCCCCCCCCTCTGGACCGGGTTCAATTAGCAACCCATGGAGAACCCGAGAGTCTTTCAGTTCGTCAGTTTTCCTTATTTCCCCCCCCCCCTCTCTCCCCTCCCCCCCACCTGCTTGCACCCCATGACCAGCGGCACCAGTGTGGATGGCTCCACCGCCTGGGCCGCCTCGTCGATCACCACCACATCGAACTTGCGACTGCAGGGGGGAAGGGTAAGTTGGGGGGGGGGGAGGGTCAGGAGGGGGTGCAGGTGTGGGGTGAGCTAACGAGCCAGATGGCTGTAGGGTCAGGGTTGAGTTGTGGTTAACGTCCGTCCGTAGTAGGAAACCCCGCCGCGGGGTTGCCTTCCCCCAAACCCCCAACTCCTCCGCTTCCCCCTCCCCACTCGCCCCCTCCTCCTCCCCCCCCCTCTCCCCCCCACCTCAGCCTGTAGAACACCGAGCTGCCCGCGAATGAGAGAGTGGAGCACACGATGTTGGCCTCGTCCAGGATGGCAACGCGCATGCGGTCCCGCTCAGCACCGCCACCGCCAGCACGACCGCCCTGGGGGGGAGGGAGACCGGGGAGGAAGGCGGGGTGCCGGGGGGGGCGGGGTACGAAGGAGGGTGGAAGCAAGGTGGCTGCTGCAGCAACGCCAACAGCAGCAGCACCTCGTCCCTCCTCTCCTATTCCACTCATCCCGCCGCTTCTCCTCCTCCACCTCCACCTCCTGACCCAGCCTTCGACACCCGCATTGCCCCTCCACCCCCTTCCCTTCCCCCCTCCCTTCTCCCATCCCTCTCACCTTCTCCCCAGCTCCTCCTCCTCCTGCTCCGCCTCCCGCCCCCCCTCCTCCTCCGCCCGCCCCGCCTCCCCCCCCTCCCCCGCCCCCCAGCCGGCTGTCCACGATGTTATCCAAGCTGACCGCCTCCACGCTGTGATGCGAGCGCACCCCCACCCGCACCAGCGAGGGAGCGAAGTTGGCGCCGTCCTTGTCCATCAAACCCGAACGAAGGATACTGCCATAAAGGGGGGGAGGGGGAAAGAAGAATATCCAATGTGTGCAGGAGGGGGCGGGGTAGTTGAGAAGTGCAGCGGGGGGGGGGAGGGGAGCGGGAGGGTGGAAGGCAGGACCTTATCATCCCACACACACAGGGCTGCTGCTCTGGTGGTGCCTTTCGTACGTCCTCCACCCCTTCCCCGCACTGCATGGCCACTCCCCCTTCCTGGCACCCTGCCCTCCTACACGGCTATAGTTCGTTTCCTCCTCTGGTTAGCACCCACCAACCTCCCTCCCTCCCCTCCCCGCCAACAACACATTGGGTATTCTTCTTTTTCCCACCCCCACCTCCCCTCACCCTCTCCGCCCACCACCCACCCTCCCCCCTACCGCATCACGATCTCATCCAGCGCGCTGTTGGAGGGCGCACACACCAACACATGCGCCTTGGGCCCCATGTGCCGCGTCACCCGGTGCGGAACCACTCGCCGCAGCAGACCGAAGCAGTCGTCGTGCACCCCCGCGCCGGGGGGGATGGGGTCGTACGGCGTCACCTCGTCCCGTACATTCACTACCAGGGCACCCCCGGCGGCTGCTGCTACTGCCATGGCTTCGGAGCCGGGGGGGCCCAGGAGCCAGGGGCACTGGGAGCACCAGAGGTCGGCTCGGTCGGCAGGCGAGGGGGGCAGCAGTGCAGCTACACCCACACGGTCTGGAGGGGGGGAGGGAGCGGGGAGGGGGCGGGTTAGGGGGGCTTAGGGAAAGGAGGGAAGGTTGGAGGTGCTAAGAGCAGCATGCAGAGACTGGCCCATGTCACCTACTGAGCCCCCCGCCCCTCCCACCAACCACCCCACCTCCCACCCGCCCCTCCCACCACCTGCCCCCCCTTCCCTCCCACCTCCCGCCCCATCCCCCCCACCTGCTGACTTGCCACCCGCGCCCGCCCCCGCTGCCGCCGTCATGACCGCAATGCTGCTCTTGTGCGCGGAGTGCATGATGACGGAGAGGAGGTTGAGGATGGTGCGCGTCTTGCCGGTGCCGGGGGGGCCCTGGATGAGCACCACGGGGGTGCCGTCCAGCCCCGCCTGCAGGGCTGACATCTGGGGGGGAGGGGAGGAGGGAGGGGGAGGGGGAGGGCGGAGGAGGGCGGAGGAGGGGAGGAGGGGAGGAGGTAAGGGGAGCGGAAGGGGGAGGGACAGAACGAAGTCTTCGGAGGAGGACAAAGAGGGCAAGGAACGCGGCTAGGGAGCAGGGCAGGAAGGCGGGAGAGAGGTGGGAGGTGGGGCAGGTGGAGCAGCTCTCCTGGCGGCTGCACCCTGAAGCCCTCCTTCCTCCCCCTCTCCTAACCCTCTTGGTGTCCCCTCCTGAGGTATCCCCTCCTGGCTCCCCCACCCCACCCTGCCACTTCCTATTCCCATTGCTTCGCCCTAAGCTGCGGTTTCCTATGGTTCGGTATGGTCTTTGACCCCGCTGCTGAAACCCTAAATCCTCCCCCCACCTGCGACGGGTTGCACTCCCGCTCCATGGCCGCCCGCATGCCGGGGGGGATGTCCAGGTGCTTGCTGGCGGGGGCGGAGCGGGGCTTGCCTGGGGGGAAAAAGAGAAATTCCAATGTGTGTTGTGATAATGATACAAGTTGCGAACAATCCAACTGGGCTTGCCTGGGGGGGGGAGGGGAGGGGGCATGTCACATGTGGGCTGTGCCCGACGTGGGGCTCAGCGGAGGGCAGGCGGCAGGGAACTGCATGAGTGTACACAGCAGGGGTTACGGCACGGCCGGCGGGTGGTCGATGGCAGCAGCAGCACTGGAGGCTGACCTTGCGCCTCTTCCCCCGCCCCCTCCCCACCGCTGACAAAGGGCTCCCACACCTTCCACCCTCTTTCCATTTCCACCCTCCCCTCCCCTCCCTCCCCTCCCCCCCCACCGCTGATGAGTGTGTCCATGAAGGGCACCAGGTGCGCGTGCTGCAGCGCCGTCCATTCGCGGGTGATGGTGGAGGTGTTGCCCAGCCGCAGCAGCCACCAGCAGGAGGAGGGGGTGCTCAGACCCGCACACATGGCGCGAGCCCTGGGGGCGTGCGGGGTGAGGGAAGGGGGGGGGAGGAAAGGGGGGGCAGGTGAGGGGTATTAGATTAGGAAACTGACGAGAGAAGGGGACGAAGCGTTTTGGGGCGGGGCAGGTGGCGGGGTGGCTGCTGTTTGTAAGGGGCACCACCCAGCGGGTGCGAGGGCGGGCGTGTGTCCGCATGTGGCTTGCATGCGAGGGGCATGCTGGGCCGGAGGTCCCGGAGGCCCCAGGAGCGGCGGCAGCCGGGTGACAACCCTGACAAGCCAGGAGGCAGCGGCCCTGCCACGAACCGCCCCCTCCGGGCCCCAGGTACCCTACCCTAGCTGCGCGCTCTGCCCACCCGCCCCCAGCCCCCAGCCGCACCCCACCACCTCCCGCACAACCCCCACAGGAACACCCTTGCTTCCTTCAGCCTCACTCCCGCCCCCTATTCCCACCCCCATCCCGCCCCTCTCCCCACCCCCCTCCCCTCCTGCGCCCCGCCCGCACCTCTGCGCCCCCTGCGCCCCGCCCGCCTGACCGCCCGGGGACAGGAAGAACTTGATCCGCAGCATCTGAGGGAGGTAGCGGGGGAGGTCCGGGTGCGGGGTGAGGGGGAGGTGAGGGGAAATGGGACAACACAGCGACACGGGACCCCTGCGGTAGCCTTGCACGCAGCAGCTGAGTGGAAGAAAGCAGCAGCAGCAGCAGCAGCAGCAGCAGCTCGCCCCTCCGGTCCCGCTAACCCTGCTACCCACCCACCCATACCCCCAGTTAGCTCCTTCTCTTCACCCCCCCAGTTAGTTGCTTCCTCTTCACCTCCCCCCCCTCCCCCTCCCGCTACCTGCTGCCCCTCATGCGCCTCACAGAACCCCAGCGCATGCAGCGCCGTGTTGACGTTCTCCGCCTCCGGGTTCTCCTTGCAGATGAGAACCAGGTCGTTATCCGTGTACAGCTCCGTGACACCCGCCTGGGGTGGGGGGGGAGGGGGGGAAAGAAGAATACCCAATGCGTTGAGGGGGACGGAGGGGGAGGGGGACAGGAGGGGAGGGAGGGTATTTAGGACGTTTCCGGCGCTGCAACCCCTCCCTCCTGTCCCCTACACCGCCCTGCGCCTGCAAACCCCCCTTGCCTGCACCCCCACCTGCCTCACCCACCCGGCCCCCTATCCCCCCCCCCATACCCCCCCGCACCCCCCCCACCTGCATCACCAGTCGGACCACCAGGAACTCCTCTCGCTGCGGGGCAAAGGAGGGGGGGAGGAAGGGTGGGTGGGTGGGCGGGTGGTGTGTATGACACCAGGCAGCGGTCATGTACGAGCGAGGTGATGGTGGGTGGGTGGTGGCTGGTTTCGGTGCGCGGGAAAGGGGGCACTGGTGGGCGAAGCGCCCCATGAGGCACTCCCTCTCTACTGCAACCAACCGACATGCCAACCAACATGGTAGGTGGCGTCTGGGGTGACTCATGTGGGTTGCGATTCACGGGCAGCCACCCGGACCCCTCCCTGACCCCCCCGGGTCAGTCCCGCCCACAACACGAGTACACGACGCGAGCTCTCCTACACCTCCACATCCCTCCCTTCATCCCTCCACATCACGCCCTCCTTCTAGTTCAAGTGTGCCTATCTACCCGCCCCCTCCCGCCCCCCTCACATGCTCATGGCTTGCCACCACCGCCGGGTGTGGCGTCATGACCTCCCCCTCCTCCACCCCTCGCATGATCTGCGCGCAGCACTCCTCCAGCAGCAGCGGCTCCATCACCGCCTGGTAGGCCTGCAGGGGGGGGGAGGGGTTAACTAGGATAAGCTGGGCAGGGGAGTGGGTGGGTGGGGGGGAGAGGAGGGGGCAGGCACACAACAGCAGGGGGTCCACAGCGGAGACCGAGTGGTATTGTGTTGAGAGGGAGGCGCGACGGGGCGGGCGGGGCGGGCCGGGGCGGGGCGGCACGGAGGGAGGTGTCGTTCGGGAGGTGTCACTCCTGCCAGCGGCGCCGCCCCTCAAGAAGCCAACCCAGCCGTTACCGTAAGCGCGTGCGGCTCCCTGGTCCAGCCCATCAGGATGCAACCCATGCGGGGCCTGTCATGTCATGCCGCGAGTCATACCAGACACCCCCTCCTGACACCCCATCCAGACACCCCCTCCAGACACCCCAGTCTTCCTCCAATCCAGTGTTCATGTTCTCAATCTGGGACTCCCCCCCCCAACGGCCTTGTCACACAGCTCGTTAGTTGCCTCGTCAGTTCCCTTATCTGTAACCCCCCAGGGCCGCCCGCACCCCCCCGACTGCCGGCCTCCCGCACCTTGATGCTTGCGAATGTCTGCGGCACCGGCTTCAGCTCCTCATAGACACCGCCGCCCGCCTCGCAGCGCTTCCACAGCTCAAAGTAATCCCATGACAGCAGGATCTTGTGCAGCTGCTGCTGCGATGCTACCGCGTCAACCATGGTTGTGTGCTGGTGGTGGAGATGATGATGGGTTGATGTGGATGATGGGTAGGATGGCTGGCCGCGGTTGCGGTTGCTCCGAGAGGAACGGCTGAGCCAAGCTGAGAAGCGTGGAGAATGGCGTATCTACTGGATTTGGGGAGCTCAAGGAGCGTCGCTCGTCGACGGGGGACGAGCTAGCGGGTAAGTGCGGGGCTGAGTCGGTCCGCCAGGGGACCTGGCGACACCCGGCGCAGCGCCTGCCGCGTTTAGGATTAGGAATAGAGCGACGCAGGCTTTCAGGGTCGTCGTCAAAGACGGGTAGGCTGAGAAACTAGCGTCACCCTAGGTCGATTAACGGACTTCAGTGCTCGGCGGCGTCCTCCACTGGTATGGTCTACATGAGACGCGAAATCAATTGTTGTTAGTGCTTTGGTTGCAGGTTTTGTTCGGCCCGATAAGCTAACCTAAGAGAAACAGTTGGCGGCTAGCTTTCCTCAAACAATACAAAACAAATCAAGCATTGGTATGTAGTCGCTCGGGACGTAGCCGGCAGAATTCTTCAATTTGTGCCTAGCTCCTCGGCCCTGCATACCTTCGCTCCGAAACCACCGCAACTAGCAATGCCGCAAGTGCAATTAGCATACTGTTCGTTCGTTATTTTTATTGAAGCTTAACAGCAGCAGAGGATGGCCAAAAGCTAAAGTGATATTGTACCCCAGTATGCATCTCCGGTATGGGCCCATGGCATGCTCTTTGAGCGCAGATCCCTCCGTTTACAAGGCTGGCATATCACAACATTACCAAACCAAGGCGATCTCATGGCCTATCATGTGTTGTCCTGCACTAACGTGGAGGAAAATTCTGGACCAACCCTAGGCCCACACTGAGAAACTGGCAGTGCAACACGGTGGATGCGAGTACCGGGAAAGGGTGTGTCGTTACCCTTGATGCCCCTGTTCGATACCGCCGACTGCCCAATTAGCTCAAACCAGCGTCAGAGACTTGGCAAGCCGATCGACGCTCAGTGCAAACCGCGCTGATACTAACTGTCACCTTCCCTTCATTGCACAGGCACGCCCTCTGGCGGGCAAATGGAAGACAGCAAGCCAAAAGGATTTGACTTCTTCACCCGTGATGGGTCACCCACTCACCCTAGCAGCCCCACACCCTTCCCCACACATTCCCGCGCCTTGGCTGGCCAACACCACCTAGCTGTCCTGCAAGGGCGCGGACTGCTGCGCTGTTCCCCCTTGGGACCCCATCTCCAGCAGGGCTTGCTGGAACTCCGCTTCAAAGACGTCCCGCTCCTCCTCGCTCTCAGGGATGCTGGGGTAAGGCTCGGAGTTCCCGTCAAGCGCGCGAGCCAGCGCACCCTCGCCCATGATGAGCGCCAGGTCGTAAGCAGGATCAGCGTCTGTGGACGCTGTCTGTTGGATGCTATCAACTTGCGACATAGTCGTAACATTATCGTCCGGAACTGCCGTATCAGCAACTTCGGTGGGTTCTAGTGATGTTAAAGTTTGCTTTTCAGTAGGTTCCAGTCCACCGCAATGGTCCCGGCTTACTCCTTCATTTGCGGTAGCCGAGCTGCTAGAAGCTTGGCTTTCGCCGTAAGCGGCCTCCATCAGGCAAAGCAGCGGCTAGGTAAGAGGTTGTGATCTTGTGAAGGAACCCGGAAACTTGTTGCGATCGCCGCTAGGACACCTTTCTTTCTCCCGTTGCCCGGCTTGCACTTAAGAACGTTACAAACCTTCTCTTGTATCCTTCAGAGTGACAACAACAGCCTTCCCAACGATAGCGTACGGCTGACCCGTTCGCATCAGTAGGATAGGGTAACAAGCATCACCTCAGGCTATGTATGGCCAGTTATAACCATTTCACAAAAACGGTTACACAAACCACTGTCAGCTAATTCTGCTCTGTCGGGGTTGTCTTTTACCCGTAACCGTTTTTATGATGGGGTGCCCGCACTTCTGTCATTCTTGTCATCGCTGCACCCCGCCGTCACGTATTGAAGATGAGTTTTGCTTTGAGTCTTGGAACTTTGTCCATCAAATACACCTGGGGCCGTGAACCATCCCCTGAGTTGCGGGCATAGGGTTGCCTCTGGGCTTAACATTCCCTCCAGCTGCGTGCAACGCGTATCCCGTATGCTAAAGAGTGCTGTGGCAAGTACATGCTCTTTGTGCCAAACCTGGCGTAGTTGCCCAGAATCTGCTCTTGTACTTGTGGACAAGAAATACACATTAGGTTCATATTAACATGGGCCCTATTGGCTATTTACAAATGCGTAGTTCATGGCTATTGACAAATGCATAGTTCGTGAATGTACTTCCTAAGGCAAGCGTACTTTGTGACGCCGTACAAGACGTAATGAGGCCGGAAATAGCCAGAAGACGCTATCATGCTTGCTCTTTGGCTGCCATTTTTACGCGCGACAATGGAGTTAAGTAAGCCTGAGCCACTAAAGCAGGATTCGTAAGTGGGCAAATGACATCCACGCTTGCGGACGGACGGTAACACCTGAACATTATGGACCTAAGCGAGAGGATATTGAAGAGTTGAGCCATTTACCATCAGTTAAATAGTGCACATTGCCATCACAAAGAAAACAGGCTTTTAGGAGGATGAAGTTAGCCGCAGGGTGCGCAATCGTTCTAGTGGTATTAGCGCTGGCGCTGCCTACAAGAGTAGCTGCAGCGAAACGTCGGCCACCGCCTCCGGACGTCCCATTTCCCCCATCATTTCCGCCACCTCCGCCTCCTATACAATACGACGACCTCTGGGCGCTTGCAGCACGTGGCCCTTCGGACCCTACTGGAAATAGCACAGTGCCTGGAGCTTGCAGACGCCTGCTCGGAGCACCGCGACCTGAGGCGCTTTCACGGAAGAAATGCAAGCCAGAACGGCAGTTCTCTTGGGTGCCAACTATTAAGGTAGGCTTGCTCTGCTGTACTATCTGGCATCGCACTTGTTACTATAATGCAAGCCTTAAGAACCTGAGATGTTCGGCATAATCGGAGGTTAGCTGACTCCTGTTTGTTCGACGGCGTGTGCGCTGTGCTTCACTTTCTGCAACTCGATGTCGGTAGTTGCACGGGCAGTAAGGTGGTTTCTGTTCGCTGCTCCACTTCAAGGTAGCAGCCAAGCAAGTCTATTGCCGCTGAGCACATAGGTAGCGCTTGAAAACATAATCATTTATTGTTCATAAATACTCTTAGCGGCGCATTTGCCCTTCTACCTGCAGTCCAGCGAATAGCTGTTACTTGCACGTTCGCCGCATTGTCCAGGCAACCTGCAGAGTTAGCTGACGAACGCATCTTGCCTTTCTTTGTTTTGGGGGCTTTGTTGCGTGCCCAGTGTGAAAAAACGCTCATATACGAACTTCGCTGCGCGTTCATCTAACCGCAACATGTCCTCACCTGCCTAACAGGAACCGCGCTACGTGGATGTCCGATTTGAAGTAAAGGCAACCATTACTGTTGGACGTGTTGGCGGCATGAAGGTAACCATGTGTGCGGCCCTGCCGTACTTGGCTATGAAGGATACGCTTTCCAGGGACGGTGTTTATCAAATGGGCTGTCTGGGCACACCCTTCAATGGTTGCGATTAGGATGTGCACTTCAAAGTTCCCATGGAGAACTTAGCCTCAGTGGTGAAATACCGCAGTAGCCGTAAGGCTTAGTCCCTCGCCTAAGGAGGCCTTGCAGGTACCTGTATCAGGGTTCTGCCGCTCATCCCCTCCTCCTCCCCTCCCCTCCCCCCCACCTCCTCCTCCCAGGTCCTGCTGCTCAACAAGGGCTCCCTGCAGCCCGTCATCAGCTCCATAGAGCTCATGGTCACGCCCAAGAACACCACCGGCTACATGCCGCTGCTGCTGTACAAGGGCGGCGCCGACCAGGACCTGCACTGCCCCGCCACCATCACCTTCCCGCTGGAGCTGCCGCCCGCCTCCGCCTCGCTGGGAGATGCCACGGTGCTGGGAGCGCGGGTGAACGTGTCCAACGGAGCGGTGGATGACAAGACCTTCCTGCCCAGCATCAGCGCGGTGGGCCTCATGGTGGCGCGGCTGACGTGAGGGAGGGAGGAGCAGCTGGGGAGGGTGCTGCTGATGCCTCACACTCGTCAGCGGCTGACATGAGGGAGGAGCAGCTGAAGGCGGAATCGCAGATGGCGCTCCAAACAGAAGGTCAGCACGTCGCAATGTACATATTAACGCATGCACGTGCGTTGCAGGGGAAGCGGGGCACGCTGAAGAAGGGATTTATGTTGCGTTGCGTGTGCAAATGGGGAGCGCGCGGGGATTCAAAGGGAAGGATGAAGTCAGGGAAGGGGATTCTTTGTAGTGACGAAGCAAGGAGGTGCGCTTCCACTGAGCACGCCGGGCAGCTGAGAGACGCTGCGTAGCAGAGATGGGCTTGAAAAGTGAAGAAGACGTGAGGGGCGCAAACACGCGCCGCGTGGAGCAGTTACTGCTGCTGATGGTGCTGGTGCTGATGCGTTTGGGTCCTAGGCCTGTGCCCAAATTACACAACACTGGTCGTGCGCATGCGTCCCTTCCGTGAATAGGCACGTCCCCGTGCGGGTGTTGTCGTCAACAGTGGGGGTGGCAGGTTGTTTGGCGGCTGAGATGCCGGATGTATGGGGCCTGCGAAGTCATCGCGGCGGGCGCTGCAACAGGAGCCGAAGATGTCCAAATGAACAGCCGGGGGAGCGGTGGGGCTGACGGGAGAGGTTGTCAAGCCGACGAGATGGTGAGGTGGTCGCCTCATGTGGAAGCTGCGGCCGGCATGGAGAGGAGCCGGTGATGCGGCTCTAGAGAGGAATGAGAGGAGGGCCTGCACCGCACCCCTGCCCGTGTGTGGGCATGTGGGGTGACCCATGGGTCTTTGGTCGGGGATCCGTGCCGGCGCTGTGCGCGCAGGCTGTGAGCTTTCAGCTGGGTGTTCGTTCGCGGAGGCAGCGCTGTACCGACCTCGGCAGTGTACGGTACCCCAGCTGGAGAGTCTTTCTCTCACTCGTTCTTCCCTTTTCTCTTCTGTTCCAGTAGTTGGCACGGCTGGCGTAGTACACACTTGGACACCGCTGGATTCATGAGTCACACTCCTCTTGGCTATGAGGCACACGCTAGAGCCGTGGCTATGCCCGTCGTGACATTTACGACAGCTGGTGGCGCGTTTTGATGGGGTTGTCATTCGCGGCATTGTTGCGCGCGCGCGTCCGAAGCCTGTACTGTGGTTGTCGTGGTTGTGCAGGGTTGGCGGGGTTATGGGCGGTGATCATCTCGCTGCATGCACGGGTCGTTGCAGGTTGTTGAAGCAGGTTCTTGGGGCGTTCGGTTGACCACGCGTTCCGATGCGCATGCAGTGATGAGCTTGGGGCTGTTACTGTTACGCATTGTGTTGCACCAGGCTGAGGCGCTGCGCACTGGGCGTCAGCTCGCAACTTTGCATATGTGGGTGAGCAACCACGGGGTGGGGATGTCTGAAGCCCGGCAACCAAGCTGTTGCTCATGAGTTGTGTTGGTGGAGGGGTTCTTGCGGGTTGCAGGTCGCGATCTCCTGGATTGCGGGTGTGGGGTGCTTCACGTGAATGTGTACGGCGAAAGGCTGTGGGTTGTACGACGATTGGACACCCATGCGAGAGTCCGGCGTGTGCAGGCTGCCTGAGGATTGCCAACGCGACGGAGTCTGCTTGTGGGTGAGGGTGTGGGGCGGGGCTTCTTTCTCTTAGTATACTTGTTTTGCTCAAATTGCTGTAGATCACACCAGTGTGCGAAATTTGGAGCGCTCTGCACCCAGGGGCGCATACCTTCCCAAACTGCCATGTGCGTGATACGAGTGTGTGCGACATGCACACACGATGCGGTAGGGACAAGTAGACGGATGGACAAGTTTCGTGTCCGGATGAGACGCATGTTGTTGGCGTTCCGCTGTACCCTCGTACAGGGTGTTCGGAAGCCTGACTTCCCCACCCAGCGGTGTGGGAGACTTGCTTTCGGGCGGTGGTAGCTCACCCGGAACGGCCGTGCAGCGCTCAACTCCTTGTCCTGCTTGGACTACCAAGGCGCACTTTGCTTCCATTTTATGTATCCAAGTATCCATGGCTAACCCGTAGTGTGTTGAAAATTGGCCGCGAGTAGGAACATAATGTGTATGTGTGTTTTATACGCACTTTTAGCAGCAGATGTCCGGTGCACGTTGCGGGCCACATTTGGCACGGTGTTTGTAACAACAAGTACATGGAATTGCTAGCCAGCCCTGTGCATCCCTACCGGCGTCCTGATTTGGAAGTCGCAGGGATGCTAGTTCAGAGGATTGCGAAGGCTGGCTTGGTAAGCATGGCCTTGGCTACTTGGCAAGCAAGCAGTAACGTAAGTGCCCATGCTGGATTGGCCGCTGTCCCGCGCGCCTCCTTGGCTCTTTCCTTCTGGGGGCCCGCCGGCAACACAGCACACCGTCATGTTGAGCGGAAACATCAACAAACCCTACCCAACGTTCACCCACCTATCTCCTCATCTGTTGGTGGGTGGAACCATCCTTACATCTCTCAGGAAAACCCTTACTCGCCTGATACCTCTTTGCACTTCGTTGCCTCTCTTGATTGAATGGTTCATGGGGCAGTCCGGCAGGACTTAAGGGCCCTACACTCTACCATGCCCAGGAAAGCACATAGCGAAGCGTTGCCAAAGTGTTGGTGGTCCTACATACCAAGCTTAGGCACGCATGCAGGGAAACCGCTCCAGAAAGACTTGGATCTGCTCCGGTGCCGCATGGGCAACGACAATTACCGTAAACAATTGCAAATCCAAACAGCAATAGCAGCATTAATAGATAAGAGCAGTAGTATTGCCCTAATTGTATCTATTTTGGTGCGAATTTAGCTTGCGGACAGCCATGGCCAATATGGAAGCAGCAGCTGCAGACGGTCTGAAAGGCCTTCAGGATTTGGGCATCGACGCTATGGAGCATGTCTTTCGATACGTGGTAAAGGGTGACTATTCGGCCTTTCGCCAGGCTTGTCGTGCCGGGCGCTTGGCGGTGGATAGCAACATCACTAAAGTCACCATCAACTTACTGCCCGAGGACCTTCAGGAGTGCTACAACGGAAAGCTGCTTTGCCTTAGTGAGCGCTTTACAAAACTCACATTTGTCCGCCTAACTTTCCAGATGGGCCAAGGCGTCACCGTTTCGGACGCTGTCCTAGTGGCCACGCAGCTATTCAAAAAGCTTAACCTCGAATCCCGTCAGCGAATTACTCGGCTGGAGCTCGTGCAGGACCGTGGCGTCGTCGCCGAGTGCGCCGAGATGGTCGTAGAGGCACTTGCGCAGCTTCTTCCGGGGCTCCAAGAGCTCGACATACAACACTTCCACGGCATGTCCTGCATTGCTCCTTACCAGAGCGACATGTACGGCACCCTGGCTGCCTGCCTGCCGCAGCTGCAGGCCCTATCACTGCCAAGCTGGCTCACGGTTGCCGAGCTGCCCGTCCTGGCCCAGAAGGGCCTTCACCTGAGCTACTTGGAGCTCAGCGGGGGGACACGAATGGAGCTCCTGGAGGCGTCTGTCATCACCACCATCGCCCAGCTGACCGCACTACGTGAGCTGCGCCTTACCGGTTTTGTGCTCAACGGGCCCATGTCCGTACAGCTCCTGTGCCGCATGCTGCCGGCCTCCCTGCAGCGCCTGAGGATGCAGAGTTTCCTCACCACATGGGGGGCCCACACCTTGCATGCCCGATTGGATGCGGGCCGGATGGTGGCGGTCGACCTGCTAGAGAGCAATGCCAGGGACCTGGAGGGCCTGGTTAAGCTCAGCCGAGCGCTGTCGTACATGTCGGACGGCGGGCTGCCGCAAGAGCAGGAGCCGCTGTTGCAGCAAGGCGAGCTGCGCGTTGCGGAGTTGACGCTGATGGAAGTACGGCAGCTGGAGGAGGTGCAGCTGGAGAGGTTGTGGGAGCTGCGCAGGTGGTTTGCGCGACCGCGCGTCGGCTGCATGACTGTCTCGGGAACCACCACCGCCGTCGTTACGCAAGTCATTGAGTTGCTGGGGATGCCGGAGGAGTTTTCGCTTGGTTTGCAGGAACTTTGGGTGGAGGTTAGCACCGGGGTCGCGGGATGTCACGCACGGCTGCTGTCGGCAGAGCACCAACAGCAGCAGCTGCTGCTGAAGACGTCTGAGCCGCATGCTGGGGACGGGACCCCGCCGCTGCAGCTGCCGTCAGCCGCTGCGCTCACGTCTGAGGTGGTGTCACGTTTCACGGCCGGGCCTGCCCGCACGTCAGAGACTGTAGCGGAGGTGGCGGCACGCACCTCGGACAAGTACTTCCTGGTCCGCGGACGTGCAGTATCCCGCGCCAGGGTCAACGATCTGTTGAAGGGAGCGCAGTTGTTTGCAGGTGTGCCCTGCCAGAAAGCTGAGAGCGGCATTCGGGTTGGGGGCATGGCGTACTATGGCGTGGCCTGTGATGCTGGGAGGGCGGCGGACATCGCGGCTGCAGCTGAGGTGTTGGTGCGGGCGAGGCTGCTCGCGTGCCGCATGGAGGTACTGCGGGTGGACTCGCGGTACGACATCGCTGAGAAGGATGTGGTCGTGCAGAGGAGCGGGCTGGACCCAATCCATGTGGCCTTTGAAGAGGTGTGTAGGGTGGGAGGGTGACGGCACACGGCAGCGGCTGTGCGTCTTGAGCACCGCATGAGAATAAAGAGGGGTATGTGCTTGGGTGGAGGCAACAGGTTGCAACTCAGGCGTTAAACATCGCTTTGCCATTACTACTGCGGCTGTTGCGGTGCAAGTAATTGTACTGTTCACAATCTACGACCCATGACGTAATGCCGTACACTTGCCTTCAACTACCGGTAACCCCTCCAACCCCTCCGACTCCCACCCTCAGGTGCTGCAGGAGGCATGGGACGCCTCCCAGGCCTCCGGCCACCCCTGCAGCTGGCGGCAGCAGGTGGAATGGCTGGTGGGGCTGCAGCAGGAGATGAACTGCTCGGGGGAGTCAGACGAGTACACTGACAGCGAGGAGGGTTACTGGAGTGATGGGTATAGCTCGGATGATGACATTGTGACGGACAGTGAGGACGAATCTGACGCGGATGAGGAAGAGGGCGGTGAGGATGAAGAGCCGGAGGGGGTGGGAGAGTCGGAGAGTGAGACGGACAGCGAGATTGAATGAACGGTGGTTGCCGTTGAGGTGGGGAAGCACGGTTTGGAGAAGACTGGTGATAGGCTAGGAAAGCGGTGGAAAGGGTAAATATATGACACGAGGCTGTAATCCGGTAAGGGACAGCGCACACGGGGGGGGCACTGCACTGCCGTCTGCATGCGAATCGAGTGTGTGACAGCCGCATGCTTTCCTGTAGCTGACCCCATGAGTGACCTAGATGACATGACTACGTAGCGGTACAGCGGTTGCAAGTGCACATCTTCAGGCCGTACGGCAGTGCTGCCCTTTCCATGGCAATACCAGAAGGCACCGCCTGGCTTGTGAGGAAGTGGACATGGCCACAATGCCACCTAAAAATGCGGGTGTTGCGTTTGCAAAAGCCACTCCCAGGCCATATAAACTTGATCCGGCCTTATGCCTCGCGCCCCATGCTTCTACTAAGACGGATGTAAGTCATGTAACGCGCGCGTAATGCCCCACCACCCGGACCGGTCTAGTCTAGCTCCTAGCAAGGTTGCAAGTCCTGCGGTTTCCCATGCGGTGCACTAGCGGGCCTACAGAGCACCGCCGACAGCAGACCCATGGGTCATCAACACGAAAGAAACACCAGGGTGGCTTCGACGACTCCATATCCAAACGGAACGTCCCTCCTGTCGCCCAAATAGTCTAGCGAAACAGTGCGGATCAGACCCCCCAGGTGCACTGAGCCACTGACCGAAGACCCCATTGCAGCCATGCACGGTTATATGCTTTACAACCCGGGCCGAATTAGTGCCGCTGCCGTACAAGACCCGCCTGCTAGCAGCGCCCATGCAGCATGCAGGCGTACCTCCCAGGAAGCTCTGTTCGTTCCCATGTAAGCGCAGACTCCCTTCGTTCCGTACATATCTGTACGCGGCAGGTTCCAACTAGAACGCAAAACAAGCGCCGCCGGAGAAATCCACCTACCGCAACTCCGTCGTCCCAACACGCAAACAAGCAACTTACTTAACATCCCAATCAACATGTGCTGCAGTGGCCACCGCGTTGCACACTGGTGACACCGCCAGCAACGCCTCTCCTTCCCTTGCTACTTAAAAACGCATTACCACACATACACACCTCAATTCACCCGTACGTAAGTCCCGTAAACGCCGCACTCCCAGGGACAATCCTTCAACCGGCCCGCCCAATCCTCGACTCGCCCAAACCCCTTCCCATCCAGCACCACCAGCTCCATCCACCACTAGCTCCTTGCCACTCCCGCCCCGCAGGACAACGGTCTTCCTCCCTCGCAACAGCAGCACCTACCCGCTAGCTCTTGCCCCTCTTGCCGCATCTGCTGTCCAACTAAACATCCCCGCTCCACCGCCGCACCTCCCAGCTATCACGCATGTCCTAATCAGGACACAGGACACACCCTGCCCAGCGGGTGTGGTTCTACAGCTCCGTCTTGCCGCCGCCGCCTCCCGCCGCCGCCGCCGCCTTGTGGCGAGCCGCCTCCATGGCGTCTGCGGCCTGGGCGTAAGCCTCCTTCGTGGCCGCCCGCATGTCTGTGGGAGGGTGACAGCAGCAGGAGTGGGGTTGGGGTTGGGGCTGAAGAGTGGGCTGGTGGGAGGCGGTGAGGTTCACATACCAGCAGAACCGGGAGGGAAGAGGGGCGGAGGAAGAGGTAGCCCAGATAGGACAATGGCGACGGTAGGAGGCGAGAGAGTGCCGTGCAGGAGCGAGCGGGCGGGGACCGATGAACAAGTATTGGGCGGGCAAGAGCCAAGCAAGAGATGTAAAGAAGCAAGGAGACCAGAAGGGAAGAGAAATAAAGAGATCGGTGCTTGGGGCACCTCCCCGCCCCCCCCCCCACATTACCAGTCAGTTGCTTCGTCAGTGTCTCATCATATATATTTTTTTACCCCCCACATTACCATACCCCACCTGCCGCCGCAGCCGTGGCTCGCTCCCCAATGCTAGCCGCCGCCGCACGCGCCCGCTCCGCCGCCTCCTCCGCAGTGCCCGCCGCCTCGTCAAGCGCCTGCTGCGCAGCCTCCTGGGTGCTGGCGGCGGCGCCATGGGCCTTATCGCCGGCGATCCCGGTGACGTGGCGCACGCCCTCGGCGGCGCGGTGCATACCGGAAGCAACCTGGAGGTAGGGAGGGAGGGAGGGAGCGAGGGAGGGAGGGAGAGAGCGAGGGAGGGAGGGAAGCTTCGATTCTGCGCTGCACCTTAAACGAGCCGGGAGGTTGTCAAGGCCCACTACCGGTAGCTTTGCGACGTCAACTTCTTCTCGCCGCAACAACTGTCACCTTGCCACGTTGGCAGCACTCCCTAATCGCCCCTGCTTACCGTGTCCTTCACGTAAGCCGCAGCGCCCACAACCTTCTCCGCCGACCCATGGGTCACCTCCTGGGTCTTATGCGCAGCCCCCGCGGCTGTGTCCTTGACGCCCTCAGCCGCACCCGAGGCGCCTTCCTTGACCGTCTCGTAAGCTCCCTTGCTCTTCTCAGCCGTCGTCGACGCTGCTCCCTTCACCCCTTCCAACGCATCCTCTGCCTTACCCCGCACCGCCTCAGCCGCCCCCTTGCTCTTATCCGCAGCCCCCGAAGCAGCGCCCTTCACGCCCCCCACCGCACCAGCCGCTGTATCCTTGACCGCACCCGCCGCCTCCCTGGTCTTCTCAGCAGTCGCAGCCGCCGCGCCCTTTACACCCTCCACCACGCTTCCCGCCGCATCCTTCACACCCTGCGCCGCACCCACCGCCTTATCCTTCACCGCAGCCGCAGCATCCCCCACCGCGCTTCGGGCTCGTTGCGTGTAGCTGGCAGCGGTATCGCCGGCGGCGTCAGCGGCGTCACTCGCGCGGTCTGTCGTACTGGCGGCGGCGTCGCGGGCCTGGCGCGCGGCATGGCTGGCGGCGTTCTGGGCGGTGGCGGCGGCGTCAGCGGCGGCTGCATGCACGTGCTCCGCCGCCTCTGCGGCGGCGTTCTTGGCGCATGCGGCGTCGTGGCTGGTGCAGGCGGCCTCGTGGGCGCTTGCGGCGGTGTCTTCGGCGGTCTGAGGGAGAGACGGGAGGGAGAGGCGGGGGAGGAGGGTAAGGGGAGAGCTGGGGCTGGGGCAGTACTGCCGGGTTTCCAAAGGGTGTTGTGCGGGCTGTGCGGGGCTTGCAGCGGCGGTGGCGCACGCGACCATATGTTAATGTTAGCTCCTCAGTCCCCGCCTCAAGGACTCCCACCCGCACCACCCCGCCCCCGCCTGACTCACCTTGTGACCGGTCCTCAGCACGGACCCCACCGCCTCCTTAATTCGCTCGCCCCAGCCCGGCTGGTGGTCCTCCTGCAGCTCCGTCTCCACTACGGGCGTCTTGGACTGGATCTCCTCCGGGTGGCTGGGGTTGACGCTCTGGAGGAGCGGGAGGAGGAGGAAAAGACGAAGAGAGGTTTACGGAGGAAGTAAGAGGATAAGTAGGAAGGATGAGGAGGAGGATTGGGGTAAGACAGTTGCCTCGCCCGAAGGTTGGGGAGAGAAAAAGGGTAATGATGACGTAAGAGTAACTAATTGCCGGCACAGGAAAGGAGTGCTGCATTTCCGCACGGTAGGAGTTGCTTAGGTGTGCAGGGATGTGAAAAAGCTGTGAAAGGAGATATCCGTTGCATAGCAAAGCCGACATGGACACGTAACAGTCAGCTTGCAGCAGCAAAGGAAAAAGGAGGAATTTCCTGCGGCCTTTTAAGCCTGCGATGTCGCATGCTAGCAACCGTTCCGTAACCATGTCGCAGCCCTAGCAACGGAACCTTCCTGCTTGCGCGCAGCTAGCAGTTAGGGACTTGTTCAAGGTCGCAAGGACACATCCTTCCTGAAGAAACCTTTGTGAGCCCTATTATCTCGGAAGGTGGACCCCTGGGCCGCGCAACCTTGCTCCGTATCCCTCTCCGCCTTCTCCTGCTTACAGTGCAAACACACCGCACACCTGCAACGGGTCGCTGTGGGAGCTGTGGGCCGCGTTAGCAGCCAGCGCGGCTGCTAGCAGGCAGCCCAGAAGCAAACCAGCAGGCGCACTCCGCGTCATGGTGACCGGGACGTTGGTACTTAGCGTGTCTCTAACTACAGCTTGTAACCTTTGTGCTGTTGGACAAATTACTCAGAAGGTGTTTACGAAAGAAATAGAGGCAAGGCCTGGACAGTTCAACAATTAGAAGTGCAGACGACGATTAAGTTGCCCTGCAGCCACTTCAACCGTTGCTTTGGACGATCCAAATGATGTCATGCGTCCTACGCGGGGCCCAGGGAGGGAAGAAACGCGATGCATCAAACAGACAAAATAAAAAACCTGGCAATGTACTAAACCGTCTGCTGCATAACTCTCCTGTGAGACGCAACGCTTATTTTCATGCCTGCCTGCAGCAATCCTCCTGCATCGCCTGCCAAGGTCCATACATCCGCTACGAATCCACGAGAGGACGGGTTGTCTAAAGCCGCGTCAGCAGCGATCAGCAGCCCTTGCCATCCCTAACACAACCTGCTGCTCCAGATCTCTACATCTTTCTGTACAACCTAGTAAGACCCAACTCTTTACGATATGTGCATACAAGCAAGGTTAACTTGTAACGGTATGTGCACCGAGAGGACGAAAACACGCACCCCACGTACGTCTTCTCCCTCACTGCTTCACCCACCCCGACCCCCCCGACCCCGGCCCCAGCCGCCTCCCCTACGTCCCCCACCTCCCCCCTCTCCGCGTCCGCCTCCCCCACCACCTTCCCCTCCTCCGCCACCGCCCCTGCCCGCCCCCCTTCCCCCACCATGCCCCTGCCACCCGCCTTGCACCCGCTCCACTCCGCCCGCCTCCTCCACTCCTCCCCCGCCGCCCGCACGCCCCTTCTGCCCACCCCCCCCTCCCCCTCCTCCTCCTCCGCCTCCACCTCCCCCCGCTGCCGACCGTGGCCTGAACTCCGGCATGTATGCCTGCCGTGCCTTGCCCTCCGGCCTCCCGCCTCGGTCCGGCACCTGCCCGATGATCACCCCCTTGACGCCAGCACCCATGGGTGCAGCTGGCCGCTTGCTACCGCCGCCGCCGCCAATGTCGTGTTTGTCGTACCCGGTCACCGCCGCCGCCGCGTCCAGGGTGGCCACTTGGGAGGAGGTGGGTGCGGCGGTGAGGGCGATGACGTCAGCTGGGCGCAGCGACCAGACCTCCTCCAGGGACACCTGACGGGGTGGGGGCGGTGGTGGGGGCGGTGGTGGTCGTGGGGTATACATATGGTGAAGATGAAGATGTGATGGGGGCAGTAAAGATGGGGAAGCGAAGGAAAGGTGGGGCGGAACGGCGGGGTAAAGGTTGGGGTGAGGCACTGGTAGGGGTTGAGGTGCGCTGTGTGGTGGTGGGGTCAGGTGAGGTGACGAGCTATGGGGCCCGATGGGGCGGCGGGAACACCCGGGGGAGGCTCGGTAAGTAGCGGTGTGCTGGCACACACACGACGCGGGTGTGTGCGGGTGATGGGAAGCGCCGGTACCATTGGCAAACACAAGAAATAAACACGACACACCCACCTGCGGTTGTGCGCTCATGGCTTTGCGCGCCGCCGCCGCCACCGCCGTCGCCTCCTTTGCCGTGCCCTTCTCGGCCAGACGAGGAGACCACTCGAACGCCTGCGTGCACCCGGGTGCAGCAGCCAAGCCGGGCAGCCTAGCTAAATGCCCCAGCTTACGGACACGTCCCACACGCGAACAGGATCCCGTTATAGGAACCCTTCAATGCAATAGCTGCGAGCAGGAGTGTGGCTCACGGCAAAGAGAGGCAGGTACACTTCGCATCACACACCCGCAGGCTCTGCGGCGAAGTATGGGTTGGCCTGTCATCCCCCTCTCCGATATGCCCCTCCCTGCCTTGCAAGGCGGGAGGCTTCGTACCATGGCTCCCCTAACTGATTACAGTTTCCTACCCTTCGCCCAGCTTTGCCCCCCCCCCCACCTGCAGTGTGACCTTGGCTCGCTCAATCATGACAGCCCGCCGTAGTCCGTACTCCTCCCGCAGTGCACCGTTGATCTCCGCCAGGGTAGCCAGCTGGCGGGGAGTGGGGTGAAGTGGGGTTGAAGTGGGGACGGGAAGCGGGAAGAAGGTGAGCGGGGTGTGGCTCGGGGTGTGGCATTTAAAGTGGAAGCCTCCGACCCCAGACCCTCACGATAAAGGCTCTCTCGTCCATCAACCGCCCAACCTGCCCACCCCCTAACCCGCTACTACCCCCCCCCGCGCCCCCACCTGCTGCTCCGTCAGCTCCCCCCGCCCGCACAGCGGCTGCAGGAAGGCGGGTCCCAGCTGCTGACCCAGCGCCGCCTCCACCCGCGGCAGCAGCTGCTGCAGCAGCGGCAGCGCGGCACCGCCACCCCCGGCCGACCCCGCGGACTCGGGAGGCAGCGGCACCTGGTGGTGTGGGGGGTCAAAGTCCATACCAAACCATAGTTGGTGTGGGAGGGGGAGGGTAAAGACCTAAAGAGGAAACAACCAACTGATCAGGCGTCATCAAGGGGGAGGTGGTGACATCGGTACGGGTAGGGGTAGGGGAGGCGAGAGCAGCGGGTGGGTGGGTGGGTTGGAAGCTGATGCGAGCGGGTGGGAGAAGGCGCGTGAGTCCGGAGGCATGCCAAGGGTAGTCGGGGCATGCACGCGAGCTATACGCGTAGCGCACGCGTGTGTACGGTCCAATTCCTGCTGATCTGCGCATCCACTCTTCCCCACCACTACCGCACTGCTCTTCCACCTACACACTGTACGAGGACGGGCAGGCAGTTACACTCGCAGACCCGCAACTGGAACTCCCAACCATCAAGCAATATCCGGTAAACTAGGGTCAGGGTCAGTGTTTCCGCGGCTCAGGTTAGCTCATCCCCCGACACGTCCCCACCCGCACCTGCATGGCTTCCGCTGCCATCCGGAGCGCCCGGGACACATCCGCCGCACGAGCCTGCAGCTCCTTGCCTGCAGCCGCAGCCGCCCCCGCTGTTGCTGCTGTCGCCCCGCTGCCCGCCGCATCCGCACCCGAGTGCCCCGGCTGCTGCTGCTGCTGCGGGCTTGTGTGTTTTGTGTCTTTGTTGGTTTGCGGCGAGTGCTGTTGCTTTTGATGAGGCTGTTGCTGCGGAGGCTTTGCTTGTGCGGGCTTAGCCTGCGGGGACTTTGTCTGCGTCTGCTGCTGCTGCGGTTGTTGCGGCTGTGATTCCCCGGGCAGTTGCTGATCCTGTGGCTGTGGCTGCCGTGCTGCTGTTGCTGCTGCGGTGATCCTGGCGGCCTGCAGACACGCCACCAGCTGCTCCAACACCTCCACCCGCTCGCTGGCTGGGCTGGAGGCTGAGGAGGAGAGGGGGGAGTATGGAGACATGGGGGCATGGGCTGGAGCTTGGATGGGTAGGACCGGGATTTTGCAAAGAGGCGAGAAGACATGGGATACCATGTATCTGGGAAGTGGGAATCGGGCAGCATGCAGAAGAGCACCATGCTGCATGTATGCATGTGTACATACGCAAAAAGAGAGAAACAGCGGGTGTTGGTGCATGCTGCTGGGCCTGGGGACTAGCTCAGCCGGGCGCGCCCTGCATGCCTGCAATGTTGCACTCGTCCTCACCCAGAGGCCGCCGTTCAGCGCTCACCGTCGATGGTTCGCAGCAAAGCCAGCAGCGCGTTATCGAGGCGGTTCATTTGGGCGTCACGTTGTGTGGCACAGGCCGCGCGAACAGCCTGCGCCTTGGTCTCTAGCTGAGCAATGTCGCCTGCGTGTATAATGGTTCGTGTAAAACCACATGCGAGGTTTTTCTGGCTAGTTCGGTCGGCTGGGAGAAGGCTCATTTGAAGAAACTGCTAGGGACTTACACAAGCTAAGAGGCCGAAGCGCAGAATGCAGCGCATCCGCCAGGGCACTGCACATTTTCCGGAACGCCTCCCGGACATCTTTGCTGTACAGATCAAACTCATTTACACCGGTCTTTAACCTGTGGCGACATGTGAGAGCTCATATGGACAGGAATGAACAGGTCAACCCTGATCGGGCTTTGTGTCACTCCTCAGTCAGTGTGATGCAGGCCTTTGTGTCAGCAGCATAGCTCAGCTGTAACACCAATATGTATATCTGCAAGATATTAATGTCCCTCCCGCCTTACTCCGGGGCCGACGGTCTCAACGGTGCCCGGAAAGAGAAGAGAGGTTCCACAATGCAGCTGGACATGACTACAGTATACTCAACAGTAAGACACCCACCCGCAGAGCTCCACTCTTGCCAACAAATCGGCCGCTCGCCCCTCACGATCCATTCTGCCGCTTTCCTCACAGGGGCACAATCCTGCCCTGCGAGTGTTTTACATGTATATATACACGTGTACCCTGCTTTAACTGCTGTTGTATGCGCTCAATATGCAGGATGGGCGTGGTTCGCTTTATCACGGATCTGAACTGTCGTAACGTACGGCTGTAACGCACTGCGCACCCGAATCGTGGCAACCGCACACCATTTGCCACGGAGGAATAGGCCAGTCCGTGTGAGCTGCAGAGCTTCTTCCGGAACCGGCCGGCATCGTCGGTTGTAAGGCGTGACCCACCAAGCCCAAATTGTTACCGGCATGTCCCTGCTGCTACCGTGGCCTGTCCCCCGCTCCTCCCACGACAGCTACGCCTTACAACGGTGCCCCTTCCTCGTCGGCGCAGCCCTTTCCTCAATGCCCTTCCGTCTCTATATTTTGCATTATAACGCCGCAAGTGTTGCAATTTATTAATGTCTAGTGACCTCATATCTGCTGCCACATCCAGACCCATCCCATCCCATCTACCGGTCGCTACCCCATCCAAGATGCCGAAGAAGGGTATGCATGCCGGCGGTTGGTGCGGCCGAATGCAGGAGCTCACGTCCTTGGTGTTCCCGCCTTTGCCTCAATCACCAGCCTGCACCACAGACTCTTGTGTATAGTACAGCGGAAACAAGGGCAAGCAGTTGGGATAGGTTCGCATGTGAACCGCAAGACTCTTGTGTATAGTATAGACCCGATTCCTTGACACACGTGTGCCGTGAGCGCATCCGGCCAGGCCTGCTGCCCCTGCCAGCATGCTGTTCGCCACGGAACTCGACATCGTAACATGAGCAGCCGCAAGTGGCGGCAGGGGGGTGAGCAAGTCGTCATGGAGAGGTATCGTGCAAGGAGATCGTGGAGACGTGCACCAGCACACATACCAGCCGTGCACGTCTCACCCATTAACCGTGTGCCTTGTAAAGGCACCCCTGCAGGGTTGTAACAAAGGTACCGTTTGTAACGACGAGTTGCGGTATTTGCCCAGGACAGTTAGGTTCCGCCTATTGTCTGAAACACACCCAAACCGCACCTTGGGCCATGTGAGTGTGGTGGGACCGCACCCACAGTTGCGCCAGACGGAGGTGGATTCGAAGTCAACGATGTGAGTCCGGGGCTGCGTGTGGTACAAAACGCCACTTAGCAGAGCTGGGCGATGCCTGAAGGATTGCTGTACGTCCAAATCCGCCCGTACAGGTCTGGCAACCCTATTCGCCCAAAAGATCTGACACTAGGTTCGCGAGAAACTGTACTTCTATCAGCTTCTATAGTGTATTATGCCATTGTTGTGGTATCAATGTTTCTTACTGACCAGGCCTCAACCTGACATCCTTCACGCCGTATGGACAAGTAAGAACTGAACATCATTTGTTCACAAGACGGATTGAAAGCGAATGCAGCAATGGCCCTTTGATGGAAAGACTATTCGGCGGATTAGTGACAACGTGTTAGGAAAAGCAAAGCTCCATCTCCGGGATGTGCGCTCCGGCCTTTACCAGGTGCGCTTGCTATGTGGGTTACAGAGATGCGTCAACGGAGGTTGCGGACAGTCATCGATGTAAACAATCGGGTAGAAGGAGTTATAGCAACCAGCACGATTTGCGTGCTGCGCCAGCGGCCTGGTCCGCAATGCTGCCAATTTCCCATCCAAACGCTTTAGGGTGACCATTGTTTAGGCTCCTTTGAACTTGTCCCCAATTGACCAGCGTTAGGTGTGGTTGCGCCAAGCTTCAGAACTTACAGTCCAACTGATTTACCCCGTCAACATGTACTACCGGTAGCTATGCTATCTTGTGATTCAATACATCTTCAGATAGCGCCTTGAACAGTCGCAGACCTGCCGCGATATGCAACTGCCATCTCGTCCATCCCTAATCCCGTGCAGGTCAAATGGTTCACCGCCGACGGCGAGGTGCCGCAGCTGTGCAGGGGCTACGACCTAGAGATATATACCGAGGTGGTTGAGATTTCAGAGGACCGGGACCTAATGGAGACCCGAATGCCGTTCGGCATCTTAGACCGCTTTGCCAAGCTCGCCGAGGTGGCCAGGGGGCTGCCGCCGGCTGCCTCCCCAAAGACGACCGACGCCCTTTCCTCTAAGTCCAGCAGCAGCGATAGCAGCGGCGAAACCGGCAGCGACGGTGGCGGCAGCAGCAACGCTGGCGCTGCTGCTGGTGGCGCTGCACAGCCGGGAAGCCGAAATACAGCAAGTACCGAACGCACAGCCGGCGCCCGTGATCCTGCAACCGCCAGGCGCCCTGCTGCCTCCGCGGCTATCTCGGGTGAGGGCTCCGACCATGCCTCCTCCCCACAGCCCGACGCAGCGGCCCGGGGTCGTGCCGCCGCTGCCACCCAGGCGCCCCGTCACGCCCAGGGGACCGCTGCACGCCAGGCGGCGGGACGAACACCGCCCAGTGCTGCTGCTGCTGCAGCTGCCAACGTCGCTGCTGCAGCAGCAGCAGGTGGTGGTGGTGGCGCAGCTGCCGCAGGCGCAGCGGAGGTGGCAGAGGAGGTGTCGGACTCCGTGCTGCTGGTGGAGAGGTCGGTGGATGAGGTGTCGGGTGGGGTGGGGACGGGGGCGGCGGAGGATGGCGGCAGCACTGCGGGCGGTGCGCTGGCGGGCGGTGGCGCCCCCGTTGCGGGCGACATCAGCGATGACGGCGGCGGTAGCGGTAGCGGTGGCAGTGCAGTTGAGGAGGTTGAGATGCAGGATGTTGAGATGCAGGAGGAGGCGGAGGTTGAGATGGAGGAGGCGGCAGCAGGCGGTGGGGGTTCTGGTAATGGCGGTGGAGGAGGAGGAGGAGGCAAGGATGGGGTTGACGCGCACCATCAACTTGCGGGGCGGGGTGGCTCCCGTGAGAGGCAGGAAGGAGCCGGGGATGTGTTTGCCAGGACGTGTGAGGAGCTGGACGAGGCGGCAGCTGAGGAGGAGCCCAGCACGGCTGCTGCTGCTGCTGCTGCTGCCCGGGGAGCCCCTTCCGCCGCAGCAGCAGGCCCTGCAGCAGCAGCAGCCTCCCTTTCGGTCCTGGTCGTCACGAGCTCCGCCTCCGAAGCTGCGGAGGGAAGGCCGCAGCTGCGAGCCAACCCGCACCAGCAGCAGCAGCAGCCACGCCCTCAGAAGAACCGGCTGAGCCTGAAGCGGAAGGACCATGCGAAGCCTCAGGCTCCTCAGCAGCAGGCCTCCCCCCTTGCAATTCCCGGCTGCACGGCAGCGGCAGCTAAGGCACCAACCGCTACCGCCGGGGCCGCTGCCGCTGCCGCGCCTACACTGGAGGCGGCGGCGGCGGCGGAGCAAGCTGAGGCAGCAGCAGCAGCGGCGGCGGCTGAAGGTGCTGCAGCAGAAGCCGCAGACGTAGCGGTTGGCGCTGCCCCTGCCCCTGCTGCGCCTGGGTTGCTTGCCGGTGATGTGGCGGTGGCGGTGGCACAGCTGCATGCGCTGCTGGGGCCCTCCGCCAGTGCCAGTCAGGAGCAGGGGCAACAGGAGGAGGAAGAGGAAGAGCAGGGGCAACAGGAGGAGCACCAAGAGCCGGCGCAGCAGCGCCAGCTGTCAGCACCAAGTCCTGAGCGGCGAGACCGGCAGCGGCAGCAGCAGCATCACACGCGGTCGCCGCTGCCGGCAGAGCAGCAGCAGCAGGTACAACACCGGGCACAGCATCAGGCGCAAGAGGAAGAGCAGCAGAAGATCCAACAACAGCAGCAGCAGCAACAGCAGCCGCTGACTCAGCAGCAGCCCACGCCAGATGCTGGCCGGCGTGAGCTGCCTGGCTGCCCCCGGGGGGGTTGCCGGGGGGCTCGGAGGCGGCAACCGGGCGATGTGGTTGGTCCCTTCACGGGTGAGTGGGTTGAGTGGGTTGGAACAAGCGACTACTGGGGGCCGCTGCACACGCATGACGCGGGAGGGCACGTGAGGAGGGCACGTGAGGAGGGCACGTGAGGAGGGCACGTGTGAAGGGCACATGCAGCGCAGAGGCCACTTTCTGCCCCAGCAGTGACGGAATGCTGCCGCATCCCCCCCCTCCTCCGCCCTCCAGTTGGTGAACTTCTCACGATTTTTTCCTTCCTTCCCCCCTCCTTACCCCTCCCCTCCCTTCTCCGCCCCCCTCTCTTTTCTCCCTCCCCACAGGCCGCATCTACCCCGCTGAGCTGTGCATGCGCCCCGGCGACCGCCCCCTCTCCGAGCAGTTGCGCCACCCGGGCTGCGGCGTCAGTGCCGACGACAGCCGCCGGGTGGAGGCCATCCTGGACTCGCTGCCCACCCACAGCCGGGGGCCTATCTACCTGGTCAAGTGGGTAGGGTACGAGCTGGACCCCGGGGTGCCGGGGGGGCGGGGGGGGCACTGGGTGAGTCTGGGCAGGCTGCGGGCGGTGGCACCGGAGCTGCTGGAGAGGTATCTGGCTGAGCTGGAGGAGATGGAGGGAGAGGAGGGAGAGGAGGGAGGGGAGGGAGGGGGCAGTGGTGATGAGCTGGAGGAGGGCGGTGGAGGAGAGCGGCAGCAGCAGCAGCGAGTGGAGGAGCAGGAGGGGCAGCAGCAGGTGCAGCAGCAGCAGGTGCAGGGGCATCAGGAAGAAGGGCAGCACGGGATGCAAGGGGATCAACAGCAGCAGGTGGCAACAGCGCCTGAGGCGGCACCCCAGGCGGCTCCTGGGCCCTCAGCAACCCGGCCGCAGCCACCTCAGCAGCAAGCGGCAAGCCCAAGGGTGGCCCAAGCTCCCGGCGTGCTGCCCCCACCTGCAGCAGCTGGCTGTCCGCAGCAGCTGATGGGTGGCGGTGGTGCCGGTGGCGGCGTCACACAGCAGGGGCCGGCAGCACCAGCGGTTACTACTGCTGCTGCTGCTGCTGCTACAGCAGCTGCTGCGGCGGCGACAACCGGCCTGGCTTCGGCGGGCGGTGGCGGTGTGCCGCTGGTGAATGCGCAGTTTGGCGTCTTGCTGGGCGGCGCTGCTGCCGCTGCGGCGGCGGCTGCGGCGGTGGCAGGTGCTGCTGCTGCGGCAGGTGGCTGGCAGCCGCCCGGTGTTCCGATGGGCGGGAGTGTGGTGGGGGAGGTGCTGCTAGGCAGCGGGGGCAGTGGCGTCTTTGGTGGCGGCGCTGGCGGGAGCAGCAGCATTTCAGGACAAATGCTGCAAATGCAGCTGCAGGCGCAGCTAAATCGTAAGCAGCTGCAGGAGCATCTGAACCGGAATCAGCTGCGCCTGCTGGAGCAGCAGCTGCTGCAGCAACACCTACAGCAGCTGCAACACCAGCAGCAACACCAGCAAGGCCAACAGCCGTTCAGTACGGGGGTACAGCATACCGCCGCATGCAACACCCCCCAAGCAGCTCAGCACGTGCACCACCAAGCACCCGCACCAGTACCAGCACTGCAAGCACCAGCACCAGCCGCAGCAGCTGCCCCAGTCGAGATGGCAGGCGCCGCCTCAGCAGCGGCAGCAGCGGCAGCGGCAGCAGGAGCACCACCCATGTACATGTCTGCGAGGGCCGCAGTGGCTGCTGCGGTGGCAGCGCTGCATGCTGATGCACCTGCCGAAGGAACCGGTGGCGGCAGTGGTAACGACGGTTGTGCCGGCGGCGACGGCGGGCACGACAATCACGACAATCACGACATCATCATCATTTCATCGGATGATGACGATGACAACGGTCATGGGGTAGTTCACGGTAGCGGCGGTGGTGGTGGTGGTGGTGGTGCCTGCGGTAGCGGAGGGGCAGGACGCCGTGCTGCTGCGGGCGCGGCGGGAGCGGCGAGGCAGAGCGGCGGCAAGGCGCATGCTGCTGCCGCCAAGGCGAAGGCCGCAAAAAGGAGGGCTAACAAGAGCGGCATGCCTAGCAGTCCCCGGACGGCAGCAGCAGCGGCAGCAGCAGCAGCGGAGGATGCTGGACAGGCGTCGCCGGCGGGTCGGAGCGGCCGCCGCATCCGTGCGCCCAAACGCTTCCGAGATTGCGTGACCAGCGCGTCGTATGAGAATGTCGCGGAGGGCAGCGATGCCTACGAGGGTGAAGACGTGTGGGACGGTGCCGGTGGCAGTGGTGGAGGGGCGGCGGGGCCGTCGGCGGCGGCGGCGCGGGTCGCTAAACGTGCGCGGGTGAGTGCGGCCGGCGAGCTACCGGGACTGGGAACCAGCTCGCCACCCGCACAGAACCACCACGGGTATCAGCTGCAGCAGCACCAGCGGCAACACCAGCAGCAGCAGCAGCACCATCAGAACCAGCAGCAGCACCACCCCAGTACGCCCCACGGGGCAGTGGGGCCCGCCGGCCTTCCGCAGGCCCGGGGGAAGGGCTTCTTTGATGATGATGAGGACTCCGAGGAGGATGAGGAGCAGCGGCGGGGGCGGCTGGAGGTGGAGCGGGCGCTGCGAGCTGAGATGGCGGCGGGACAGTACGTGAAGTGCCCGGAGACGAGTAGGCGGGGCCGGCTCGGGTGGGGTGGGGTGGTGGGTAGCTACCTGCATGTAAATACACATCACCGTACGACAGTTCCCACCCACCTCAACACCTACGCCTCTCGTGCTCCCCATCACTCGCCGCCACCTCCCTCCACCCCGCACATCGCATGCCTCCCCTTCGCTCAGGGTCTATCACCTCTCCTGGGTTACCAGGGTCGCTACCAACAGCGCCTTCACCGTTTTCCCTGTCCTTCCCTTCCCCTTCCTCCCCTATATACTCCAGTACCTTCATCTTTCATAGACATCCTCCTCCCCTGTTCCCCCCTCCACTCCTCCCCCGCAGGACGCCGCTTCCCCGCCTCCCTGTGCTGCCGGCAGGACGATGTGCTGGTGGCGGACTACGGACCCGAGCACGACGCGGAGGAGGGCGAGGTGGAACGGATCATGGATGAGGTGGTCCGCGGGCGCACGCGGTTCTTTTTGATCAAGTGGAAGGTGGGAGGTGGGAGGTGGGCAGCTTGCCAGGGGAAGGAAAGGCGCTATACACAGGCAGGCGAACGCATGTTTTGGAGGAAGTGGCTGCGTCAAGGGTGGAGAGGCCAGTTCGTAGTTGGCGGTCATCGTTGGGCCTTCTGGGCCTTGGCGGCCCTACCCTACTCGGTGCCTCCCTCTCGCTCCGTATGCGCCCCCTGGGTCGGCTTAGCTTTACGATGCATTTCCCTCCTGCCTTCACCCCCCCGTTCCCCCTCACCTTTGTTCCCCCCCCCTCCTCACCACGCCCCTTCCGTCCCCTGCCCCAGGGCTTCGAGCTGAACCCCGAGGCCCACTGGGAGCCATCTCGCAACATCTCACCCCACAACGTCGCACGCATCGCATGGGAGCGCCGCAAGCCCTTCTGGTTCAGGGAATTACCGCGCGCCCCACCTGCTGCTGCTGGCGCTGCGGCTGCGGCTGCTGCTGTCCCTGCCCCTGCTGCTGTTCCATCGCCGGCACCAGCGGCCGCTGCGGCTGATGTGTTTGGGGCTGCTGCTGCTGCGGCTGCTGCTGCTGCTTACCAGGCGCCGGCGGGGATGGTGGCAGGGATCGATGCCCGGGCACCGGCTGCAGCGCCACATAGACGTTCTAGTAGGGTAGGGTAGAGGGGTGTAGAGCTGATGCGTGTGTGCATGTGTGGGGCCATCCGAGATCCGAGAGGAGCAGAACCCAAGGTAAAAGCGCGGGTTAGGTCGAGGCGATGGTGATAAGGAGGCGGCGGGGTGCAACAAACCAGGTGCGGGGGTATCATGCATGCAGGGAGGTGTTGGTGGTGGTGGTGGTGGTGGTGGTGTGAAACACCAACGGAGCATGTGTCATGGGGTGGATTGTTGCCGCGGCCGGTGGCTGTTGTCGGGGAGTTGGGGAAAGGTATTGTTGGAGAGGGTATTGACGTTCTTTGTTTCTTCTGCCATGTATAGGAACCTTAGGCCGCAGCATTGTCACCAGGCTTGCTTGTCAACAACGCTTTGGGCTTGCTTACAGTCTGTACGCGTGTCCGTAGGAGGTTATCAACTCTTTTCCCTTGGCCTATGCCACAACTTGTTGTGAGTGGCTCTCTCTGCGCATTGGAACAGCTTGGCTTGTCGGCAATGCTTGAGTGTCGTTATCACTGGTAGCTATGTGGCCTACAAGAAAGAGTCGAATTTCGACAGGCTGTACGACCCTACTGGCAATCCGGGGAACACATGTACGGACCTCCTCCGCACCGTTAGGGCGGTTGGTCTTCTTCTGAATGGTTGTTAAGTTGAAGGCTTGGTGTTTAATAAAGTTGTTCGTTGTTTGATACGAGTTGTCGATACCGTTTTGGATTTTGGGTCTTGACCTAGGTACTGCGTCTCAGTTGTACGGCCAGGGCAGTTGGACTGGACGCACCAACATAGACACATACTTTTTCCTTTGTTTGTTTGCGCGGTCCATGAGTCTCCTGGCTCGTCTGGGCCTTACGAGCCGTAGAGCTTGTAACAACTCACTCACAACTTAGACACGGTGCGGTGTAGGCGAATACCAGGAGCACCCGTACATGCAGCACCTGTCTTAACACCTGTCTAGGTGCGCGGGTTTTGCACTTTACCGTTACTCAAAACCTTTGTACGGCACATTTGTAGCAGGTTACCTGGGAGAGATAAGACCGCTTAGATAAGAGATGAACCGTTAATAAGGCTCTTCGTCGCCCGCCGGATTCATGTACTTACAGTCTCAGTTTAGGGAGGCAGACCTGCCGACCGCAATCCCTCTCCTCAACAAGAAAATTATAATTTACCCACGTGCCCTACTGCACGCAGCATGTTTGTACCACCCACCACAACTGCTGGGCTGTTGTGTATCCAATCCTCCTCCTGCTACACATATACTACTCCCACAACTCTTGCTACCTGTATAAATGAGGAGTACGACGGAAGGCGGAAGACACACCGCCCGCACTCTACTTTTCCTGTGGCGCTTATGTGTACGTTCCGACTCGCGTCCAGTTGTCTTGTCACACCGCCCGGAAACCTGCTAGCCTCTTCCACAGCAACCACCACCGCCACGCGCCCAGACATACGTGCGTGGCTGCAGACAATGAGGATTATCCAGCGCCGAACAACAGCCGCTGCCTGCACAATGCCAGCTCTCATACCACATCCCCAGCGGCCTACAAGCAAGCAGCCGTTCTTAACCAAGTGGCACTAATACCAACCCTGGCGCCACCCCTTTCATCGGGAACCCCAGTTTGCCAAAAACAAAACAGAGTAAACGCACGCTTTCATGTCTCATGCTCTAGCCCAATCAACCCCGATACCTCCGTACCCAACAGCAAAACCAAACCCTTCCTTCCTCCGCGCCTCACCGCCGCGCCTTCTTCCCGGCCCCGCCCTGCTGCTGCTTCTGCCCCCCGCCAGCTGCCCCTCGGCCCGGCTTGCCCTGCTTCACCCGCACCCCCGCCTTGCCCCCTGGCCCGCCCTTGCCCCGCCCCGGCTGCTGCTTGCGGCCTTGCTGCTTCTGCTTCACATCTTCCCCGTCGCTCTCCTCCTCCTCCTCCTCGTCGCCATCATCCGAGCTAATACCCGCCTCATCGTCATCGGAGGCGGACGCACCCTCCTCTTCCTCCTCCTCATCGCTACCACTCTCCTCCTCTTCCTCCTCCACCTTGCGCTTCTTCCCCGCCTTGTCCTCCTCCTTCTTATCCTTTTTCTCCTTCTTCCCCTTCTCCTCTTCCTTACCACCCTTCACCTTAACAACCGCCTTACCATCCACCTTCACCTCCTCCTCCTTGCCTCCCTCCTTCTTCCCCTTCCCCTTCTTCTCCTGTTGCGGCTGAGTCCCCGGCTTCGCCTTGACAATCCGCGCCGCCAGAGCGGGATCTGGCTGCGTCTTCTCAAGCAGTGGTGCGAGCGCCAGGATGTCCGCCAACCGGCTCAGCGGCTTTTCCAGCCGAGGCGGCGGTGCGGGGCTGAGGCTGCGCAGCGTGACGAGCGCCTTGGCCACTGCAGCCACCTTGTCCGAGCCCAGCACCTCCGCGGGGCGCTTGGAGGGCAGCAAGCGCTTCAGGCAGTCGGCAAGAGCAGCCGCGGCCTGGAGGAAGGGGGGAAGGGAGGAAAGGGGGAGTGGTGGAAGGGGAGGAAGTCAAATTTGGTTGGCAAGTTGTGAGTGCAGGGAGTGAGGGCGGAGGTAAAGGAGGTGTGTGAGTCCAGAGCAAGGGGGTGCATCTCTCCCTGCAACCGTAACATGGCGCCTCTTCACACACCCCACTGGCTCCACATCTCAGTCGCCTCAGAAACCCCTTCTGACCCCCCCCCGAACCCATCCCGCCCTCCAAACCACCCCACCACCCACCTGCGCCGCCTTCACATGCTGATCCTTCTTCAGCCCCACGCCCGCCACGCACGCCGCCAGCACCGCCCCCACGCCCGCTCCCCCTGCTCCCGCGCCGCCGCCAAACAACGCCTCCGCCAGACCCTCCGGCGCCGGGCTCTTAGTGAGCGCCGCCAGCAGTACGACAGCCTGAGTGCGCACGTGGGCGTTACGACCCGCCGTCCCGTGGGTCACCAGCAGGTCCAGGGCGGGCAGGCAGGCGGCGGGCGCGGCGCGGCACACGGCGGCCAGGCCCTCCTGCGAGAGGCGCGTCTTCTTCTTGGTGAGGAGGTCGGTGAGGGCGGCGCGGAAGGAGGCGCGAGCGGTCTCCGCAGCTGTGCACGAGAGAGGAGGGGAGGAAGGAGGAGGGGTTTAAAGGAAGGGTGAGGACGGCTGCAGGTTGGAGTGGAGGGCAGCTGTACACTGACCGCAACATAGTACGGTTAACAGGCTCGGGCAAGCAAACCCACCATAGCCCTGCAAACACACACACTTGACACCCCCCGCCCCCACCCCCCTCTCCCGGCTCACCCTCTCCCTCCGCCGCCGCTCCCGCCCGCAGCAGTGCCGTGTAGCCCTGCAGCGCCGCCGCCGCCACGGCCCGCTCCCGGCTGCGGGAGGCCTCGTACAGAAGACGCTTGAGGGCGGCGCAGTAGCCCTCGGGGCCGCCCAGCGCCGCCACGTCTACCTTGCACCTGGGGGGCGGGGCGAGGGGTGTGAAGGAAGGGGAGGGGTTAGGAGCGTAGGATAGGGTCAACTGGGGTAAGTGTCAGTGCTTTGGCTCATTGGATAAAGCATAGAAAGCACACCACCAACCATCTCAATAAACTTCGCGTGACACGCGCTGCATACACTACCTACTCGCAGACAGTTGTCTTAACACGCACGCACCCACCCACCCACCCACCCACCCACCCACCCACCTGCACTTGCAGAGCTTGTTGGTCAGGACCGCCCGGAGCCGATCCGCCATCTGCGGCTGACCCGCGGGTCGCGAGGCGGTCGCCAGCGCGCGCGTGAGCGGCACCAGTGCCGCCAGCAGCAGCGGGCTGTTGGGGCAGCGCTTGGCAAACATCTCCAGCAGCGCCAGGGCGCGGAGGCGGAAGTTGAGCAGCGCGGATGCGCGCTCCGCTGCTGCCGCGCCGCCGCTGCGGCCGCCCGCCAGGGTACGGAAGTACGCTGCGAGCTTGTCATCCAGCCGGAACATGGCCTCATCGTCCATATCGCCGTCGTCTTCATCATCATCCTCGTCATCGTCATCGTCACTGCCGCCCTCCTTGTCCTCCGCTGCCTTGCGCTTCTTGCCTGCTGCTGCTGCTGCCGGCTTCTTCTCCTCCTGCTCCTCCTCCTCCTCCTCGCTCTCATCCTCGCTCTCCTCCTCCTCTTCTTCCTCCTCCTCGTCGCTCTCAAACAGCCCTGCCGCGTCCTGTCCCTCGCCCTTGCCGCCCGCCGCCACCACCCGCACCAGATCCCCCAGCCCCTCCCCGCTCAGCCCCTCGCAGCACTGCCGCCACAGCGTGTCCGCCGCCTCACGCAGCGGCGCAATGGGCACCGACCCGCCGGGTCGCGCCATGATGGCCAGCAACACATCCACCAACACCTCACCCCACGTCGGTGTGGAGGGTGCTGCTGCCCCCTCCTTGTCACCCTTCTTCTTCTTCTCCTCCTCCTCGTCTCCCTCCTCCTCCTCCTCCTGGACCTCCGGTAGCCCCTGCAGCCCGAGGCCCTCGGCAGCCACCCGCACCAGACTGGGCGGCAGGTCCGCCTCAAAGCCTGAGGGGTCCGCCAGCAACTGCAGCTGGAGCTGAGCTGCGAGCACCGCCAAGGCACGCAGTCGCGAGGAGGTGGCTGCGCCCGCCTGCTGCTGCTTGTTAGCTGCGTCCTTCTGCTGCTTCTTGGACTGCTGCTGTTGCTGCTGCTTGTCAATTGAGGCGAGCTGCTCGAGGCACGCCGTCTCCACCGCCGCCAGCAGCTGCATGCCGCTCTCGCCCGCCTCATCCAGGGGAGCAGCGAACGACACTCCCTGGCTCTGAAGGGCCTTACGGACGAATGACAGGGTGTCATGCAACGGCTGATGTACGGCAGCGGGGTTCACTGCTTCAGGAGCAGCGCCGTCTTCACCCCCTGGTGCTGCTGCTGCTGCTCCGGCCGCAGTCTTGCGCTTCTTAGACGCCGGCTGCTGCTGCTGCTGCTGCGCGGACGCATCAGCCTCGCCGTTCCCGCCCGCGGCGTCCTTCCGCTGCTGCTGCTGTTGCTGCTGCATGGAGCTCCTCAGCTTGGCTTGCGCCACATTGCTCATGTAGCCCAGCAGAGTGATCAGGCGGGCAGCGCACAAGGCCCGAGTGGCGGGCTGGATGGGGGCAGCAGGGGCGGCGGCGGCGGCAGCGGCCACCTCAGGCAGCTGCTGCTGCTGCTTGGATTTGGCTGCCTGCTTACCCTGCTTGGAGACCTGGGCAAAGGCATGCAGCGCCAGGAAGCGAAGTACGGCGGCGGTGTCCTCGGGTCGGGCGGCGGGGAAGCGGGAAGCAGCTAGGAGCTGCTCCAGACACTGCCCGCGTCGCTCGGCGACCAGCTGTGAGGGGGAGGGAGGATGGAAGAGGGGAAGGGGAAGGCAGGAAGGGGAAGGGGGAAGGTGGGAGAGGAGCGGAGGAGTAGTGACTGACCCCTCCTGAAGACCATTGGGCAACAGCCAACCTGGCACCACTGATAGGCCTGCTCTCCGCCCGTCTGCATCTGAGGTATCACCCCTGCCGCCCCACCTCTCCCAACCCCGCTGTAGCACCCACCAGCCCTCCCACCTGCTCCTTCTCCGCCTCCCCTGCCGCCGTCTCCTCCTCCTCCTTGCCCCCCGCTGCTGCCGACACGCCCGGCTGCAGCGGCTGCTGGCCTGCCAGGAAGGCGGTCATGAGCGCTGACGTGTACTGGTGCACCCCATCCGCGTCCAGACCCTGCAGGAGGGGGACCAACAGCGGGGGCGGGGGTGCAGTGAGGGGGTGATGTAAGCATGAGAGAGCGCTGGGCAGGCGCGGGAGAGGAGGTTCGACGAAGCCCATTGCGACAACCCAACCCAGCCACCACAACAACTCCACCCCCCTCATCCATCTAACACCTCGCAACCCCTCTCCTCTCCCTCCCTCCCCCAACCCTCCCCTGCCGGGTCCAATGTAGCAACCCAACGTGAAACCTAATGTCATACACAGCCCGTCAGTTCCTTCCCCCTTTTCCTCTCCCTCCCTCGTCGCATAGCTCGTCAGCTCGTTCCCCCCCCCCCCTCCCCCGCTCCCCCGCTCCCCCCCGCACCTGCACCAGCTTGTTCATTAGCTTGTCTGCCACCAGCTCCCGCGGCGCCAGCCCGCCCAGCCGCTGCAGCGCCGCCGCCACCGCCACCTTCACGCCGCTCTCCGCGCCGCCCGCACCCGCACTGCGCTCCAGGAAGGCAGAGATGCCGTCCTGGCGGGGAAGTAATAGGGGTCATGGGGAGGAGGGGTTAAGTACAGGGTATGTAGGGTTCCGCACTGGGCAAGCGATAGCACTGGTCTAGGGATAGCGTGCAGTAGTACATCTGTGGTTAGTGGTAGCAATCGGTACACGAACTGTATGTTAAGCTCCATTGCTGGCGGCTGTGGTGACCTAGCCAAGTTGGATACTGCATGGGCGACTGGTCCGCCCCCCGGCGGGCTCCCCTGCACAGGTACCGGTATCCCCACTTTGCCCGCGTCCCCCCCGTCCTTCCCCCCGTCCTTCCTTCCCCCCTCCCTCACCAGCAGCCTCCGCGCCGGCGCATGCAGGATGCTGCTGCTGCGCTGCACGTTGTTGGTGAGCGTGCGCGTGAGGTTGGGCGAGAACACCACCGGCACGTGCTCGGGGCGCAGGTGCGGCAGCACGCGGCTGAACAGCTGGAAGCCCAGGTAGCGGCGCTCGGGGGAGCTGTCCATCAGCCCGCCCTCCACCACCACCTGCCAAAACGACTCCAGCAGGGCACTGCTGACTGGGCCCTTGGTAGCCGCGCTGGCGCTGGCGGGGGTGGCGGCGGCAGCCGCCGCCGCTCCCTTCTTAGCGCCACCCTTCTTCCCCCCTGCGGGGGTCGCGGCTGCTGCTGCGGGCTCTGCGGCAGCGGGAGCCGCCTCAGCGGACGCGGGCTGTTGCGCCGCAGCCAGCACCTCCAGGTCCATGTGCTTGTGCGGCCTGAAGCCCGGCAGCAGCATCGGCAGCACGTAACGCCACAGCGTGTGCATGCGCGGGTGCGAGGCGGAGGAGGCCAGCAGCAGCGGCAGCAGCCGGCGGAGGTGCTCGGCCGTGAAGAAGCCGGCGGCGGTGGCGGCGGCCGCGGCGGTGGTGGCGGCGGAGAGGGGCTGCGAGCTGGCGGAGGCAAAGAGCTCGGGTGGCGGGGGCGGGGTGTTGGGTGGGAGCAGGCGGCAGGAGGAGATGACGGAGGCGGGGAGGTGTGGCCAGAGCACCAGCGCCAGCAGCAGGGCCTGTTCGTGTGGAGGAGTAAGAGGGGCAGGAGGAGGAGCAGGATGTCAGGGAAGGAGGAAAGGTTAGATGGAACGGGAACGGCGCGTTGGGACAGGTCCGCCTGCGCCTCTACACGCCACTCCTCGGCTGCTCGCCATGTCATGGCGGGAGATGGTGCTCGCCCTCATCCCCCGCCACCACCCGCCTTCTTGTCGCATGGTTCGTTACTTCCCTCCCCTTCACTCCCTCCCCCACCCCTTAGGCCTCACCTCCGGCGTCGACTCCTCCACCGGTGCCGCCAGCATCTTCCCCAGCGGCAGCCCCGGCACCGCCAGCGCCGCCACCCCCGCCGGCTCCATCCGCGCCGCCGCCTCCAGCGCCACCGCCGCCGCCGCCTCCCGCAGGAAGGACTTGCGCGCGCCGCACTCCAGCAGACCCGAGAACAGCGACCCCAGCTGCCCCGCCTCCAGGGGCAGCCCTGAGCGCAGCAGCGCTCCGTAGCCAAAGATGCGGCCCAGCAGGGTGTCCTTGGCATCCTGGCGGGGTGGGGTGAGGTGGGGTGAGGTGGGGTGCACCGGTGGGGTAAGGAGGACGACCGAGGGTGTGAGTCGCCTCGTCCGATGGCTCCTGGGGGCTTCGAGAGTCATGCGAAAGTACTTCTTTTAACCCCAGCCCGAGCTCACTCACCCCTCCCTTCATGGACCCCTCGTTGCACGCCTCCAGCAGCACCAGCACCCCCGCCGCGCTCACGCAGCCGCTAGCACCCAGCAGCCCCGCCAGCGCGGTGGCGTAGCCCTGCCGGGCAGCCTGGCGGGAGGAGCCAAGGCCGCGGGCCAGGCGGCGCAGGGTGTAAACCTGTGGAGGGAAAAGGAGGGGAGGGGGGTTGAGGAGAGGATGTGCAGGGTGTGCGGGGTTGCAGGCGGAGGATTTGGGCTGGGGTGTTGATATGCGGTGCCAGCCAGGAGTATGGCGTCGTGAGGGGTAGGGGCGGTAGGAGAGCATCGTGGCTGGGAGTTGGGCTTACCATGGTGGGTGAGCATCGACGGAGGTGGTACTCCAGTAGGGTGACTTTGGGGGCGCCATCTTCAGGGGCGCTTGCGGTATCGTCGCCCAGAGTTTCAAGATGCTTTGCTTGGTCCGCGGTCAAGTCCGCAACGAGACCCTTTGCGGCCGTCAAGCGGATGTTCTGCGACGCGAAACAACGATAGGATAGAAGGGGTAAAGATAATGAGCGGAGCGAGAACAAACATAGAATAAGCTGGAATAAGCCTAACTATATCTCAACATTCCGCATCCTGGAAGGCAAAAGTGTTGCACAGGGGTGCAACCGCCACCGCCGCCGGGTTCCAAGGCATCGCTTACCTCGTCATATGACGCCAAATCCCAGAAGTACTGAAGAACCTGTCGATAACAAATCGCGGCAGCCGCTGGTTATCAAAGGTCCTGTGTGCTCTAGAACCAAACTACGCCCGCCGCGCAGCATGCGTAAAGGCTAAGATTTTAGGATCACTTACTGCCTGATTTGTACTTAAAGCATTTCCACCAACGCTGGGCTCGTTCGCAGCGTCGCCGCCGCTAGCTAGTTCTTTGTCACTTGCCATCTTCGGCAGTTAAGCTGACCCTAGATGTGTAACATTACGGTCATCACATAAAAACACGGTCATAGGCGCTGTCACCACCGGTCGTTCAATGGTTGATGCCTTCGCCCAGGGCATCCTCGTCGTACGTACAGTACATGTCGCCACCTATGGTCCTCCACGTCGAAAGGTCATAGTGTTACTTCACTCGCGCTGTCCGTTTTGCCAAATTTTCACGTCAAAATAGACATTTCCTTACGTATACCGGTGCTGGCCATGTTTTTATGACTTTTGCAGGGAAAAAGCCGTTATCCGCATTGCTCTCTACGCTACTGCCTTATGCTGAAATCCTTTGTTGCTAGTTAACTGATCGAGTGCTATTGGGCGAGACATAGGCGGAAATGGCCCTTGGTACAACCCTTTTTCTATAGGAGTCAGTCCCCTGGCTGCGAAATGCTCGCTCAGAGTTCAGCTTCAACCAACGCTTGTCGGGGTTTGGCCAGGCACGCTTGGCTTGTCGGGCGGACTTGCGGAGGACTTAAGGCACGCTGCTTTAGAGGTGAGGAGAGCCTTTGACGGAGCTCCTTTGCATCTGAGACCAATACAAGCTAGCTTGAACGTAATTCCTCGGGCTCCTGGTCTAGAATCACCAGCGCCTCGGGTAATGGCGTCAACCTCCTCGACTTCTCGGTCCTGTTTCTCGGGGGCTTCAGCGACGGAGCTTCAACGATGGCTGGTAAGGCGACGCTCCACCTGCAATCCATCGCACTTCGGATGTGCACATTATCCGTTTCCGTTTGCCACGTCGACATCCTAACCTGTCTCCCGCTTCAGGAGCAAGGTGGTGTGGATACAGCCGCATACGGCCAGGGCATGGCCAAGACAGTGCATGAGCTCTTTGATGAGGTAAGCAGCCCGACTGCCTGGCCCAGAGACAACCTGCGTGTGCGGGACCGCGGTTGTGTGTGCATGGGGGCGGGGTTCAGGGCCCAAGGGTCGTGTATGTGTAAGGCACGTGTTCATGCAGGCCGTGCCGCCATGCTGGCCTACGCCGTACGGCCGTACTTGTCTTCCCGCGCAGCAATAAGCAAGCATGGTATGGTACACAGTCGTTCCGTGCAGTACATTGCATTTTGCACGTAAACTGTACCCCTGCATACCTGCCTCTTGCTGCAGCTGCTGCTTTTCTGGCTCATCCCTCCGCCCCCCCCCCCATCCGGCTGCTGTCGTACATACGTCTGTACGCCCCCCTCTTCCCCCTGGAGCTTGTCGTTATGTTTGCCATTCTCATTCAACACATTGGGTATCCTTCTTCCACCCCTCCCGCAGGTGTCCAAGCAGGAGAGTGTGTTGGAGCTGGAGGGCGGGCGGGCGCTGCGGATTGTGAATGTGCTGTCACTGCACATACTCAACAGCAGGGGGCAGGTGGGAGGGGAGGGGTTAGGGTAGTGGGGGTTACTGCGGATGGAGATTCCGCATGACGGCATGAGGCTGGATAGGGTAATGGGGTAGCAAAACGCCGTACGTTGCGAGGGTGTACGTGTTGCCCCGCAGCTCAGGAGGGCACTGCTGCGGCCACACGGGGGGGGGGTCCCTAACGCCGCTGCGGCCGATCACTCGCTACCAGCCAGCATGCCTGCCTGAGAGGGTCCCTGGCGTGCAGGGCGGTGCGTGGGTGAATGGATGCAGCCGCCCCCTGCCCCTCCTTCTCCCCCACTCTTCTCCCCTTGCCTCCCCGAACCCCTGCTGCCCTCCCGCCCCGCCGCCCCCCCCAGATCCTGTTTGAGGACGAGCAGGTGCTGCCCGACGGTCGCTCCCGGCGGCGCAACGTGCCGGTGAGTGAGAAGATGGTGGGCGAGGAGCCCTGGACGGCGGCGCTGCACCGGGCGGTGCGGGAGGAGCTGAGCAGCGCGCTGCCGGAAGACTACCAGGTGGGGGTAAAGAGGAAACATCTAACTGACCGTGTGATAAGGCATCATCATGGTTTGCAACATGTGAGCCAGCCCGACCCGCCCAGCCCGAATTAGCCAAGCCAGTACGTGTAGTGGCCCTACCATAAGTTGTAGGTGGGGGGGCGGGGGGGGGGGCGATACCAAGAGGGGTGGGTTAGCAAGCGGAGTGGGGTAGCAAGCGGAGTGGGTTAACAAGCGAGGTGGGTTAAGAAGAGGAAACCACGAGCTGTATGACGAGGCGCCGCCATGGGTGCTTGGGTGGGCTAGGATGGGGGCCGTGAAGAGACCAAACCACTAGTTAGGAGGCAGAGCAATGGGGGTAGGAGGCGGCCTCAGGGTGCCCGGTTGGGGACAGAGAGAGGCAGCGGCGTGTGTACTGCCAGGTGCGCATGCAGCAGCAGCAGCTGGGTGCACATCCCTGCCTCCCTGCCCTGCCTCCCTCCTGTTGCAACATCCACCTCCTCACCCTTCTCCCCTCCCTCCCCCCCTTCCCCCAGGTGACGCTGCTTGACAACTCCTACTTCCTGCGCACCGAGTACTCCAGCTCCATGAGCTACCCGGGGCTGCTCACAAAGGTGGGCGGCAGGGGGGGGGAGGGGGAGAGGGAGGGCCGTGAGGGGGGCTTTGTGCTGGAGGGAGGGCCGGAAGGGAAGGCAAACAGGCTTTATGTAGGGAAGGGCATTGGAGAGATGTCGGTAGGTGGTGATGCATACTTGTTTGCAAACCCAAACCGCACTCCCTGGCCTTCTTCCTCCCTTGGCCTTCGAGTAGCAGCCGTACAACACTAAGACCCCCCACCCCTGTCCCCCTCTTCTTCCCCCCACCCGGCTTTCCACACCCAGTACATCTTCCACCGCGTGAAGGCGCGCGTGTCGGGCATCCCCGAGAGCCCCTTCAGCACGGTGGAGGCTCGGCCGGGGGGGCAGCTGCTGACCAGGTGGGTGTGGAAGCAGCCGCCAGCGCAGGAGACGTTCTGAAGGGCTGCAGCGGCAGCAACAGGTGCAGCGGCGGTAGCAGACGGGGGCAGCAGCAGCGGCGGTAGCAGACGGGGAGCAGGCGTACCCGCAGGCGGGAGGGCTTAGCGGAGGCCTTGTGCGTTTTCGGAGGAATGAGGAAGGAAGGAAAGCAGGAGGCGGAGGCCGCAATTGGAGCGCTAGGTGTCATGTTGCCGGGTTGCGGGAAAGGTGCGCGGCCGCGCAGCGGCTTAGTCGACTTGAGAGAGGAATGAGGTGCAAAATGAAGAGGCGGGCAGGATCGTCGGGCGAAGGGGAAGGGTATCCTGCTCTGATCCCTGTTTTATGGTGGTTGGTGGAGGTGATCTTCGGCGGGCAGCAGATGCCGTGAAGGGGGCGGGCGAGAGGCGAGGGGGGCACACATGCAAGGACGTGCGGAGGAGGGTTTGCTTGCGTGGGTGCAGCCGGCAGGGGTCGGTATTGGGGAATGCCGTGTGCGGACTTGACCTCTCTGGTCTGGATCTGGATTTACTGGTGACCTGCATGCTTGCCTGGCGCTGCAGTGTGGGCGTGCATCTCTCAGACCATCTAGACTGCTTGGGAAAGAAATGGAGAGCAGGGAATCGGCTGGTGTGACACTGACTGAACGTCTTCCCTTGGCATTTTGTTCAGAGCTACCGACTTCAGTGACCTTCTGTGTGAGCAACTGTTTGCGAGGCAGCTGAGGTTTCCAGCGAGGAGAGGCGGGGGTGCCTGCTGCGGCGTACACGCCAGGAATACGTCCCATGTGCTGTGGTTCGGGGGAAGGTTGGGATGGGGTGCGGGGGTGCTGCTCCAAAACACATGTCAGTGCATTTTGCCCGTGCGCCCCGAGGACCCCCCCTCCCTCCGTTCCGTTTTCGCTGTACCCCCTCAGCACTAGGGACCTGTAAATGGCTTGGCTGTGACCCAAATGGCAGACGCTCCCACCCCTACTCCTTTTAACAGCAACCTTGCGGACATGTTATCCTCAATCCTATGACCCAAGGTAACAACCGCCGTACTCTTAAAACTGCGGATCACACATTTCGTACCCGGCTTGGCCCCATGGTCTGACTCAAAATTTGGGGCGCAAGTCAGGCAGCAAAGGCTATCAAACGTACCTCTCAACTAGACGGTCACGTCTAACAGGGAGCCACACGCGTACACGCCACAGCGTCCAACCAACGTCAAACACGTCTTCACCCCTTGCATCAAAGACGTAAAGGGGGAAAGGGATGGGCGAGAGGGCCCAAAGAGCAACACCGCCCTGCGGCCCCAAACCACCTCCAATGTTCCCTACTGCCAGGCGACTGACAGCGGAAACCCCTATATCAGAGGAGTCAACTTGTGCGCACTTCTTCCTAATCCATCACATACCGGTACAACCGAAGAGTTGATCTTGCGTGCAGCATCACCCCCTCCCCAGGGGCAACTGCCAACCCTCAACGTCCCATCCAGCTCTCTTACCGGCTCAGTCGGACAACACCCGTCTTCTTCCGACCACCACAAACTCCCCACTGGCCTGGCGTGCCGAGCACAGCTGTGTGAGCCGTCCGAACACACAAACACAATTGTGCAATCCTTATACCCGCCAGCCACTCCCTTCAAGCCCATGCAGCCCAAGGGCACACCCCAGACCTTGACCCATCTCTCAAAAGCAGGGTTCCAGCTATCCTCGCTATCCATGAGACACTCCCAAGGGTTGCAGAGTTAGGCCGCATGCATCGCAGCAGTAACACCGCGACCCACAGCTGCAATCCGCACAGCCACCGGCGCTCAGCTGGCCGCCAATGCTGCCGGCGTAGCAGCGACCCTGAAGCAGCTGGGGCCCCAATACAGCTCCGTTACAGGATTACATGCCGCTGGCTGCTTAGGCGCTCGCCTCCTCCTTCTTGCGAGCTGCGCCACGGGTATCGCCCACCACCACAGAGCGGATTCCGAAGGAGCTCACCATCTTGTCGTACAGGGCCCTGTGTGTGGCGCATACGGAGGGCCACGCGGGGAACCGTTTGATGTGGATTCTTGCGCCGTGTGCCTTGCTAAGGCGTTTCTGCATCATGCGACACACAAGCCAAGGGAAGGAACACGGCAAAGTACGCACCAACCGCCGCACCTGTCTTGCTTGTACAGGTACTGCAACAGAGACTTCCGCTGCGCAATGACTGCCTCCAGGCCCCGGCGCGCAGAGAAGTCTTTACGGTTCTTCATCAGGTGCTTGCTAAGCTGGGCAATGCGAGCGCTCAGGCGAGCCACCTGGACCTCCGACGAACCGGTGTCAGCCGCATGCCGCTGGTAGGCAGGCACCTTGGAGAGGTCGATGTTCTCCAGGTTCTTAAAAGAATTGCTGGAAGATAAGGCAACGGCAAGGGCGGGGCGGCGGAATTATCACCTTGGACCGACTCCGACTGGTCCAATTTCTGTTACCACTTTATACAAGGTGTTTGTACTCACCAAACAACCAGGCGAGCGCGGCTCGGCGCTGCCACGCGAACTGGTTTGGCAACAGTGGCCTTGCCAAACACGCCTGCGGCAGAGCGGGGACCGGATCAACATCACAAATTATTGGTAATATAGAGCTCTAAATACACGGGTATGTCGTTAGGGTAAAGGAGCGTTGCTGCGTCGTGTTGTGACTTCGGCTAACCTGACTTGCAAAGGAGAGCCATCTCGGATATCCGAAGCAATCTTGCGTGTAACAACAATTGATAACGTAGAATTAGGCAAAATTGCTGTCAACAATGGGAATCGCAGCGAGCAGCGACCAGGCAAGGGTCACGCCGTACAACTTTTCGTGGTCTGCACGCCGCCCAGCCCCCGACTCCTGGCTTGGCGTCGGAGTGCACGACCTGTATTCGCAAGAAGACGTTTGACAGGGAACACTGTAGTTTTACCGACTTAACGTCCTAGGAATAAGATAGCCATGGCCCTGACGGGCAAGCTTGCTGGCCAGGTGCCTTGCATAACAGAGCGGCGTGTAGCTACTGTAAGGAAACTCTTTCGATTACTCCTATAGTAGCAAGACAACCTCATCTTACGCCGCCTGCGCACCAACCTTTTCTTTGGTCTTCCTTGCTCGCAGCGCATCGCATTCCAGGGCAGCCGCTTGGCAGCGCGTGTGGCACCTGTGACCCGCTCCCGTGTTACCAGCCCAATTGTGTGCCAGGGTGAGGCTTCCTAAGTGCCATGCAGCATTCGGCTTTACTAGTGCATCCACGTCAATTGAGATACAATTAAACGTACTTCTGCCAAGCTATGTATCTGCTAAGTTCTTTCCACCTGATGCTTCTCCGCCTTGGCGGTGTGCAGCGGTCGCCGAGTACAAGGGTGACCTGCTCAACAAGTCCTATTATCCGACCGGGGCGGACGCTGCGAACGTGAACAAGCGGTGGTATGTCATTGATGCGGAGGGCCAGACGCTGGGTCGTCTGGCCACGCTTGCTGCCACCTACATCCGGTGAGCAGTTGGCCTTTGCCTTACATGTGACGATATGTTTATAGGATCGTAGGTTAAGGGGTAACGACAATTGCTAATGGGGACGCAACATGGCGCGTGCAGGGGCAAGCACCTGCCAACGTACACGCCATCCATGGACATGGGCGCATACGTGGTGGTAATTAACGCGGACAAGGTGGCTGTGACGGGCAAGAAGTCCTCTCAGAAGACCTACTTCCGCCACGTCAACGGCCGTCCTGGGTCGTACACCGTGGAGACCTTCACCGATCTCCAAAAAGTAAGCGTTTGGGGTCGTGTGTTTTGCACCCGTAATCTGGTCTAGCGCCCTTTCCTTACATGGCGTATACAAAGCGTCCATACCCGATTCCCTGGGTTGCTCATTCCCCGGTGCTGTTTGGGTGGTGACCGCAGAGGCTCCCAGAGCGCATCATCGAGCGTGCCGTGAAGGGCATGCTGCCCAAGGGCGCGCTAGGCCGCAACATCCGGCTGCACCTGAAGGTATTCCGGGGTGCCAAGCACGACCACGAGGCGCAGAAGCCCCAGGACATCACGAAGGAGATCAGCCTCAAGCCTAAGAACGGACCGGGCGCGCAAGTGCTCGCTGCCAAGAAGGCAGCGTAAATGTACAGCGGCCAAATAGGCGTGTAATGTTGCTTAAATGGAGACTGTGGGGAGCTAGGGTATATATGTCGGAGGACCGGCGGGGTATGCAGCCCGTCAATGCAGCGGCTGTCAGCGCGCCACTCGTCGTGTTTGGGGTGGCTAGCAGTTTTGTCACATGGCAGACCGCATGCACGCGCAGTTGGGCGCTGCATTGTAACGCCTTTTGAGGGTGTGGTCACTTTTGACTCAGGGGGCTGAACTGCCTGTCTAGGGAAATATTTCACCGTCGTTTCCCAACAAGGCGGAGACGTGAGCTCTTGACCGGCTAGCAGGCGTGGCACTAGCAGGGAGATAATACGCCCGGGTGCTGTTGACTGTAACATGTTCCCAAGTTGTTGACGGGCGCTGCCTGGGGGCGAAAGTTTCCGAGGTGTGTTGAAAATGCTCGAGAGGCTGCATCGTGGTTTGTAGCGTCGACAGTGAAAGTGAGAACTCGCAAACCTGCTCCTTAAAGCGGGAACCACGTTGATTCCTCTCAAATGTAATGATGAAAAGTCAACGTTGTATACTGTGTTACTGTCACGTCAGAAAACCGCCCGCGTGACCGGAGTTATAACAATCCTGCTGTACACAGGAGTATACTTACGTCAAATGCGCCAAGCACAGAGACGCCTGATCAAAATGCAGCAAAGCAGCCTCATGCACGACACAAACAAGCCAACAACCAAACAACAATGCTTAGGACAGACGCTCTAAACAGTTCGACACACCAATGCTTACTTTTTAACTCCTTCTTGGGCCCTTCCCAACCCCCGCGCTCAGCACTCAATCCAACACGCACACGCGCAAACAATGCATGCGTACTACATTGGCCCACAAAGCAATGCCATGCCCTCTCTCACCGGCAGTCGACGCCGGATCCCTTCACAAGCTCTACCCCACCCCATTCATTTGTCGCCACCCTGCTGTTGCTGCTGTTGTTGCTGCAGCAGCAACCCCAACTGGCTCAGGCTAGCCAACGTTGCCCGCTGCCCCAGCCCTGCCATCTGATCCCCATACGCGGCCCCGGGCCAAGCGGCGGCCCCGGTGCCGCCTCTACCCGGCTGCAAGCCCACGTACTGTGCGCTCCCAGATCCCAAAGCCAGCTCCTGCCCAGATACCAGCAGCCGCTCCAGGCCTCCCGGGCCTAATATGCTGAATGCCCCGCTGCCCTGCCCCCCGCCCGCTTGCAGTACAAGGCCCCGCCCGCCCTGGAGTTGCAGGGATGACAGCACGTCTGCCACACTGACGGCCTGCCCCTGCCCCTGAGTCATGGACAGGGGTAGCGCGCCTCCCAGCTGGAGTCGTGCAGCGTTGGCGGCCGCTGCAGCTGCTCCCCCATTGTCTTGTTGTGTTTGCTGCTGCTGTTGCTGTTGCAGCAGTTGGTGGTGCACGCTCGCGGCCGCGGACTGCAAGGGTACGAGACGCAGGACATTTTGTGTCAGACCGTTGCCGCTGCCGTTGTTACCGTTGCTACCATTGTTTCCGGCAGCAACAGAGGCGCCGCCGCTGCCGCCGGCGGCGAGGACCTGCAGGCCCATGAGGTTCAGCGCCGGCACCGCAGCCGAGGCAGCCTGTGCCCCGCGTTGCTGCTGCTGCTGTTGTCGAGACTCCCGTAGCAACTCGAATGCGGTTTGCCGATTCGCTGCCGCTTGGTGCTGGTGCAATTGCAACAGCAGCTGCTGCGTTAGCTGCTCTTCGCCCAGCAGCAACCTGCCGCCAGCAGCACCCTCGCCCGGATGCGGCGGGGAAGCCGTCCCCGGTGTAGGCGACGCCGCTGCGGGCGCACCCAGATCTAACGGTCCCGACTGCGGCTGTGTCAGTGCGTCCCTGCTAAGCCGCTTCTGCCGCTTTGCCGTGGGCTCACCGCCTTCAGCTGCGGCAGCATCGGTGCCATGCGCCTCGAGCCTCTGACCTACAGCCTGCAGGTTTAGGCCCCCGGCGCTGCTGCCGCCACTATCGTTACTGGTGCGAGCGGAGCGGCTGCCATTGCCGGCAGCAGCCGCGGTGGCGGCAGCAGCGACACCAAAGTCCTCCTGCGCTGCTGCCGCTGCTGTGGCTGCCTGATTGGCCGCAGCCAAAGCTGCAAGCAGGCTGCCAGCGGATGCCGGGGCTGAGGCAGGGGCTTCCAAGGACAAAGCGAGGCCTTGGGAGGGCGCAGCCAAGTCAAGAGGCTGCGTCATTGGCTGGCCGAGGACAACTTGGTACTGCTGTTGTTGTTGTTGCTGCTGCTGCTGCTGAAGTTGCTGCTGCGCATGGCTTGCCAACAACTCGAGGAGTGTAGCTGAAGTGATGTTTTCGCTGCCCAGGTAGCCCTCGTGACTGGAGCGTTGCTGCTGCTGCTCTTGCTGCTGTTGCTGTTGTTGGGCCTGCTGCTGCAGCTGCTGCTGCGCTGCGTCCCGACTCGCTCGATCGCGCTCCGTACGGTCCCGATCAGACCCCGTAAGCGCTTGCAACTGGAACTGCTGTGACAACGCCGGGAAGCCGTTATCTTGCAACTGCAGACCGCTCCCGTTTGACGAACCCAGCACAGCAGCTAACGCCCCCAAGCCGCTGCTGCCGCTGGCACCGACTGAGCGCTCGCGCTCGCTGTCCTTCTCCCGATCCCGGTCGCGATCTCGGTCAAAGGACCCCTGGATCGTCTCCAAGTTCAGCGCCTGCAGCTTAACGGGCTGTTGCTGCTGCTGGTTCGACAGCTGCTGTCCTGGCTGCAAGACGCCCGCGAAGAGGCCGTTACCGCCAGCGCCGCCGCTCAGAGACTGCAGCTGAAGTGCCGATAGGCTGCCCAACGACCCCCGCGGTAGCGTAAGACCCTGCAGTGGCCGCACAGGGAAAGTTAAGGTACAATACCCAACAGGACGTTCAAGTTCACGCATTCTTCCCAAGGCGCCAAGCTCTATAAGACATCTACCATCACATGCAGCGCCTGCTCGCTACCCACCTGCAGACTGTTGCCGCCGCCATCCCCAGTCTGACGCATGGGTACCAAATTGAGCCCCCCGATTTGCTGCTGCTGCTGCGAGGCTCCGGCACCCGCCGCCGACCCCCCGCTCGTGTCGGGTCCGGGAGATGGCCCACGTGTCGGCGCTACAGACCCAGATCCCCCACCACCACCACCACCACGATCACGATCACCGCCGCCACCGCCGCCGGCGCCAACGAATAACCGCGCATCAGTGGTTCCGCTAGAAGCTGGGGCGCCCGGCAGCTCTGAAAGGCTGGTCATCAGGAGCTGCAGGATGCTGGCGGCAGAGGGCGTAGCGCCAGCGTTGCCGGCGGCTTCCATATTGCCGCCACCACCGCCGTCGCCGCCCTGCCCTTGTGCATGACCCAACGAGTCCCTGAGGAAAAGCTGCTGCTGTTGCTGCTGTTGTTGCTGCTGCTGCTGCTGCTGGTGCTGCTTTTGCTGCAGGTTACCGGCGTTGCCGCTGCTGCCACCGCCGCCACCGGCCGCGCTGTAGGCGTTCCGGAGCGCCTGCAAGTCCATGACCGGCGGTAGCGCAGGGGAGGTGGCCCCGCCGCTGGTTTCGCTCACGCGACGCGGCGACAACGGCCGTGGAGTCAGCCCCTGACCAGGCGCATGGCGCTTGGCGGGCCGCTCCTCCTCACCGGTGTATTCCTCGTAGAGTTGGCTGCTGCTGCCGCCGCCTAGGGAAGCAACCCCAGCCGAGATATCGCGTACGGCTTTGTTGCCTTGTGCGCCTCTTCGGGCCACGGGCTGAGCGGCGGATGCGGGCAGTTCCATCTTGTCAAAGCCCAGCTTGGACTTGTAGTTGTGGTAAAAGGTCTTGATCTGGTTGGTGCTCTTGGTTGGGATGGCGTCGGCGAGACGAGCCCAATCGCGTCCGTAGCGCTGTGGGAAGTGAAGAGGAAGCAAAAGCAGGCCAGATCAGTCCAAGGGCCAGACATCTGCCGGCAATTACCGCACCCCAATAGGACATGCGCAGCGCCATAATAAGGCGGCATGGGTAAGTTCGTGTACAATGCCTAGGCGGTGCAGCTGCAATGGAAACCAGTAAATGGAGTGGGTTATACCGCAACCGAGCAGTGCGTACCTTGAACACCTCGGTAAACGTGATCTTCTCCTCGTCGCTCCAATAATGCGCGCCCACCCTACGGCCGCCGCCGCCGGGTCCAGAGCCGCCCATGCTCCCATCGTCGCCGGTTGGGGAGAACTGGTCACACTGGTCGTCAGGCTGGGCGGCCCCGGAGTGGCCTGCGGAGGAGGAAGAGGATGATGGTAAAGAAGAAGACGAAGGCGTGCAGTCGCTTCTTTGCTACAAAGCAAGCAGGCCCTGGTACACCAACGACAATCCAATCATGGACGCTTACACCTAATACATCGCACATCCCTGACAGACCCTAGAAGAGACACATAAGAACGGACCTGTGAACAGGCTGATAGCTGTCTGGCCTCCAGCGCCACCGCCAGCGCCCACGCCGCCCTGTAGCACACCCGCCAAGCCGCCCAGCATGCCAAGGTTCAGCCCCATGCCCAGACCCAATCCTCCCGCCTGCTGCTGTTGCTGTTGCTGCTCGCGCTGCTGCTGCTCCCGCTCGCGTTGCTGTTGCTGCAACAACAACTGCCCCAGCACGCCGCCAAGCTTGCGATTCCCCCCGCCGGTGCCTGCGGCCGCGGCGGCACCTCCCGACGCCGCCTTACCGGCCTTCCCTGAGCCTTCCCCAGCACCTGCGCCGCTCGGCAGTAAGCCACCCGATAGCAAGTGCGACAGGTGATTCCCTGACGGGTTGCGCAGCGCCGTCAGCAGGTCTAGCTGCGGCGGCACGCCTCCGCCGCCGCTGACGTCAGCCCTGCCTGCAGCCGTGTCGTATTCCGTATCCGATCTCGCCTCCGTTGCCTCCAACATGAAGTCATGGGGCCGGAAGCGAGCTTCGTGGATACGGGGTAGCGCCTCCACAGGTTCCAAGAGCGGCAGGGAGCCGCCTGCATGGGGCCCGTTGGAGAGGGAGGGAGCGCCAGCCGAAACACGCGCGGGGCCGCGGCGACGGCCGCTAGCGCCCTTGGGAATCAGCACGACCTGCGATTGCTGCTGCAATGGGTTTTGGAGCTGCTGGAGTGAGAGTTGTGCGTGAGCTGAGGACGGAAGCTCCCGAGCGGCCAGCGAGCCAAAGGTCTCATCCAACTGCGTCGGCGAAGTGAGCGTCGCAGTGGACACGGCAGCGGCTGCCGCTGCTGCTCCTGCAGCCCCTGACGCCGTTTGGGTGTGCCCGCCTAGCGGCGTGGCGCCTGAGGCTGCAGCGGCCGCCATGGCATTCGCCGTGGCGGCGGCAGCTACAGCAGCGGCCGTGGCAACCGATGTTGCCATGTCCTCACCCGCCGGGCGGCTCGACAAGTAGCCCTTGCGACCGGGACCCGCGGCGCTGACGGCGGCAATGGCGGTGACGCCGGTTCCGTCAGCGGTCACGGCACCGCCGCCTACAGAGGGCGCCATCCGGTCTAGCCCCAGGCGCTCCCTATGACGGTAGAAGTACTGTTTCGCAGCCGCTTCGGACCGGAAACCCAGGACCCGGCAGTACGCCTCCCAGTTCTTTCCGTTCTGGCGGTAGCAATCCACAAAGTCGTCATCCGTCCAGCCGCCGCTGCCGGCGGTGGTGGTGGCAGGCGGCGCTGCCAGCGGCCCCTGCAGCTCACCCGCCCCGTGCTGCTGGTGGTGGTGCTGCGCCGCCGCCGCCGCGGCAGAGGAGCTCATGGGCGGCAGCAGCGGCGGCGGCGAGGTCGCCATGACGTCCCGTGGGTCAACTACGCCGCCTGCGGCGGCAGCGGCGGCGCGTTGCGCCGCCGCCATCATCGACTGGAAGGTCGGCAGGCCGCTAGGGCCAGCCGGCAAGGGCCGCACCGTCCCCACCGGCATGTGGAGGCTGCCGCCGGCACCTAGCCCCATGCCGCCATGCGCAGGGCCCAGTCCCAGGGCATGGTCTGGATCCATCATGGTGCTGCCGCGCATGCGCCCGGCGCCGCCGCCGCGGCCGCCGCCCCGTACGCGGCCGCTGGCGCGGACGCCGCCGTCGCCGGGCCCGTTAGGACCCATGGCTCGTTGGCGGGCAATCATGGGAGCTACCAGTAGAGGTGCGTACTGCTGCTTCCGCATGTCCGCCTGAGGGTGTGGGGACAGGTTAGTTAAGTGTCGTTAGTGTGAAGCCACTGAGCACTTTCTCCCCACGACGCCTTGGCTCTCCCGCCATGGCCTATATTCCGTGATCCGCAACCCAGCCCAGCCCAGCCCCCATACAAACCCTTGATGCGCACCTGCAAGCGGCGCTTCTTGAGCTGCTGCTTTCGCCGTACGGTTGCAAACTCGTCGAGCTTTTGGTTCTTGTAAAAGAACGCAACGCAGTCGCCGCAGGAGCGTCCCGGCAGGTAGGTGGATATCTTGCGGAAGTCCTTGGGGTGCTGCAGGAACTTGTCCATGAAGAGCGTGCGCTCCTCCTCAGACCAGGCCTTGATGATCTGCATGCATGAGTGCGGAATGCGGAATGAAAAGCGGTCAGACAGAGGGATGCAAGGTGCTAAATCCCTATATGGGTCAACATGCCATATAGGTCATAGAAGCTAGTGGCATTGCCAAAACAAGCACAAAAGAGCTGAGAAAGCATGTCATGCCAAGCGCACCCGACTACCCTTGTTGTGGCATATGCAACTTACCCGCTCCTCCTCGAGTTCCCGTACAGGATCCACGATAATGCCGTTGCGGTTGTCGTACGCTCGCCACCGACGCTCCCAAGGGTCCAGCACCATGTCCGGCAGCGCGCACATGTGTTTCAACTGCTCCACTGCCGCAAAGTTGTTCAGAAGCCGCTGCTCGTCCAAGTCAGAACGAATGACGTCCGAATGACTGTACGCGTACGGATTGTACGACGCCGCAGCTCGGGAGGTGCCGTACACGCCATACGCGCCGGCTGCGCCGCCGCGCCCGGTGTGCATGGGCGGCGGTAGCGCTGGCGGTCTTCGACCATCTGCAACACCCCACCAAGTTTCAACAGTCAGCGAATTCCAGTCGCAAAAAGGCACCCCAACACTAACCACTTGTCCACCACGTCCACCCTCAGCCCATCAACCCTGCAATACCGGTAAAAAATAACACGCAACACCCCAACTTACGCAGCTGGATGTACTCCTTGTAAGCCGCCATGTTGCGTGCGTACTGGCCCACAAGCACCTCCTGCTTGGCTGCAACCAGCTGCCGCCGCTGCCGCAGGAAGCGACCCACGGCGTCACACACGGCAGCATGGCGGGCGGCGTTGGCGTGGAAGGCTGGCAGGTCCTGTGGGCAAGGTGGTGATACAAGGAGTGGAGGTGAGGGCAAACGTGGGCTTACAGGACAATGCTTTTTGATGCAGGGCAGGGCTCATTGTGACTAACAAGACGCCCTTCGCAAAGGTAACGTAGCCATCATGTAAACACGCGGCGACAAGACTACCTTGCTCCCTCAAGAGGCCCTCAGCGCACCTGCGGCTCCCGATACAACGGCTCCACACGAACCGCCGCCAGCGGCACCACCACAGACCAGCGCCCATGACCAGGCGCAGGCGCCGCCCCGGCGGCACGCGCCTGCTGCGCCACCGCGGCGTCAATCGCAGAGCGAACCCGAGCCGCAATGTCCGCCGGCAGCAGCCGCAGCACCTCCTCCCGCCCCGCAGCTGAGCCACGCCGCGCCGCCTCAAGCATGCGCGGCTTGAACTGCAACGCCGGCAGGTGCAGGAGGCCGTCGGACCGCACCCGGTGCTGCTGCTCCAGGGTCTTACGGCGACTGTCGGCGGCGGCAGCTGCTGCAGCCGCAGCCTCCGCGGCTCGCATCTTGGCTGTAGACCGTGGCCGGCCGCGGGGCTTGATGGATGGTGCTGCCTGGGCGGCTGCAGCGGCGTCGTCGGCGTCCTGCCCCTTTCCAGACGGCCCTGCCTCCTCGCCCTCCTCGTCACCGTGACAGGCCCGCGCCTCGGCCGCAGCAGCCCTTGCTGGTTCTGCTAGGTCCTCGCGGCCTCGGAGACCTGAAGAAGCGCCCAGGGCCACCGCCTCCAATCCCTTGCTGCGGTCTCCGTCGTGTACCGTTGGCGCTGGCGCCGCGGCTGAAGGTGCGGCATCGCCTGCGCCTGCCAGTCCGCCGGCGCCGGTTGTGCTGCCGAAGCTCCGCTCCGCGCCCCGCTCCTCCTCCTGCTCTAGGTCCGCTGCGTCCTGCTTGGACCCGTCGAGAGCGCCGCTCTCCCCGTCACTTTCCTCTCCACCAGAAGAGGAGTCCTGCAGCAGTTGCTCGTCAAGGGTTCCCACCTCGGCATCAAGCTCTGCTGCCTCTGCCTGGGCTTGCCGGGCCTCCGAAACCAGCTTTGCAAGCTTCCGTTCCAAATCCGTAATTTCCGTTTCCAAGTGCTCTATCCGCAGTGACAGCCCGGCAACTGTTTCAGCCGGGTTGCCGCCACCCAGGACTCCGGCGGCGGGCGCATCAACACCTGTTTGGTATTGCTGCTGCTGTTGCTGCTGTGCCGTATATACAACATCCTGCGCTGACACGCCATGATGGCTATCCACCTCCATAGGAATACAAGTGCCGCCGCCACCGCCTGCACCGGCGCCCCCACTCAACGCTGATGTCCGCGACGTAGTTCGCGTCGCTGGTGGAAGAGCCGTCGGCGGCGGCGGTACGACAAACACAGCCCCTGTCGTACGGGGCGACGTCAGGAGTGAAAACTGCATTCCGCCAGGACTTAGCATAGCGCCCGGCGTTGTCGCGGCAAAGGGCGTCGGGGTGGCCGCAGTGCTGCTGCCCGGAAGGACTCCTGCGGGCTCTGGTACGACAATACCTGCTGGTTGGAAGGCTGATTGCCGTACCGCAGCAGCCGCAGCGTCCGGTGGGGCTATAGCCGGGCCTGACGTCGTGGCGAAGGCAGGGGTGGTGGCTGTAGCCGCTAGGGGTTGTGCGTCGCTGCTGAACTGGCCTGTCATGGCGGCCCCTCCGCTGCTCAGCGCGTTGGGCAGCTCACCCTCTTCCGGAGCCGCATCCCCAGCCGACTTGGCAGGAAGCGAGCGCCTTGCGCGGCCAAAGCCGAACCGGCGAATGCTAAGGCTGCTCTTCCTCTCCGTTGCCAGCGCGTCCTCACCCCCAGCAGCGCTGGGACCAGCGGGGCCGGCGGCTGAGGAGGGTTGCTGCTGCCGCTCCGAGCCAGCGGCGGCGGTTTCCTGCGCCTGTTCGCCGCCAGCGGGCTGCCCCGTGTTACTAGCGGCAGCTGCACCCGCCGGCGATGGCTGGGACACGGCAACCGCTGGCTGCTCCGCAGGTTGTTGGGCAGCTGCCGCAGCGCCGTCAGTGGCAACGGCAAAAGCAGTGGCAGGTGCAGGACCGGGTGCAGGTTCATTCTCGCACAGCAACTCCCCTGGCTCTGGCTCCGTGGCTGCTGCGTCTGCGGTCTGCGGCGCCGGCGCTGGCATGGCCGCTGCACCCTCTTCCGACATCGTCAAGCTGCTTACGCTCGCAACTGCCGGGAGATTGCTGGCGTCAGGGGCGCCGTTCGCGGCACCACTGTCCCCTGCTGGGTCCGCGCTGGCGTCAGGGGCCCTATCCATCACGTCCTCCGCAACAGCAGGCGCTTCAGCCTGCTGGGGCGCCAAAGCAACCGCCTCACGCGGTTCCGCAGCATCGGCCCCATCAGAGGTCCCTGCAGCGGTAGCCAGCTGTTCTGGAGGGGGTGCCGTTACTGCCGCTACCGTTGCTGCTGGCGGTCGGCCGTCCACGGGTAGGTGCGCAGTGCCGGCGGTTGAGACGCGGGCTGGCGGCATCGCCACGTCTTGCGGGGTAAGGAGCCCCTGGCTGGAGCTTGCACTGCTGGTCTTGCGGTCTATGAGCCCTCCTCCTGCTGCAGTCGCCGCCCCCGTGCTGCACCTCTGGTTGAGTTCGGACGACACACTGCTGGGCCGCCGCTCGATAGCAGCCGGAGCTGCAGTCAAGCCTGCCGCAGTTGCCTCACCAGAGTTCATGCGACGGTGACCAGGCTGACCTGCAACGCCGCCGCTGCCCGTTGACCACCGCCGATCGACAGCTGCAGCCTCGTTGCCGCGGTTGCGCTCTCGGTCCCCGCTGCCTTGCGGTTCGCCGCTACCTGCCAGGGCAGGAGCAAGACAGTCCTCGCCTCCAGCTGCATCTCTTTGCGAATGGCTAGGCGACGGCGGCCGCGCACCCCCTTGACTGGAGACTCGCCCCGGGTGTGATAAGCCGCCGAGCGAGGCCTTGTCCCTTTCCCTCTCGCGCTCCCTGCCTGATAGCGGCGCTTCCTTGCTGCTAGGGCCTACATCGGAACGGGCCGCAGAGCAGTCACGGGCTGCTTGGCCCTGCAAGCCAGAGAATGACGGCGCCCGGTATGTCGCCTTGCTACCGTCCCGCGACTCGCGGCCGCCGTCACGCCCCCCTTCTCCGCGAGCACTCCCATCCCGGCTGCCGTCACGTAACACGTCCCTCGGCGGCGGCGCTGCCGACCCAGATCCCGGGCCTAGAGCGCTAGCCTTTGCATCCCAACCGCCGGAGGAACCGCCTGAGCGCCCGGCGTGTAGACCGTTTGCGGCAGGACGCGGCGAGGCATGGTGGCCCTGGTGCGAGCCAGGGCCGGGACCCGGGCCAGGCGGGCCTGGACCAGGAGCATGCCCGCTATGATGGCCGTGATGCTGCTGGCTGTACCCGCTGTGGTTGCTATGGCCGTGGTGGCTGTGGTAGGAGGAGTGGTGATGGTGGGAGGAGCTGTGGTGGTGGCTGGAGTGCTGGTCGGGAGACGGCCGGGAAGGATCGGCCCGGGAGCCAGGCCCTGGCCCTGGGGCCACCTCGCCTGCTTCTAGGTCGCCATTGGCGGAGGTGCCATTGTCAGAGTAGTCTGGGGCTGCCCCGCGAAGGGAACCAGAGCTGCTTGGGGCTGCGGCTCCACTGCGGTGGCTGACACGGCCGCTGCCAAGGGAGGGCAGGAGAGGCAGCTTGCTGCCGGTGCGCTCAGCTGCCCAAGAGTCTAGCGGAGTGCCCTCGCGGCTGGGAGGCCGCTGGTGCGGGTCCATGTCGCTGCCACGGTCGCGCTGAGGCTGGTCGCGGGGTGCGTGGTAGTGTCCGTGATGGTTTTCTGGCGATGGATCACGCGACCTGGCAGACGCTCTGCTGTCCTCGGCGCGATAGCTGTACGTGTCACGCCGAAAGGAGTCATCCCGCGGCCGGTAACCGTTCGGCCGCTCCTGCAGCATATAAGTCACAACTTGATATACTACAGTTGATCTTTACACTGTACCATGCTCGTGGTGGCAACTGTTCCGTACAAGCGCGACCAAGCGAGCGATAAAACGCGTACTTCCTCTTCTATGATAGCAAATATACACGTCCTATAACATACCTGACTCTGATAGCGTGGGGCGCGATCCCTGTCAATAGTCCGCTCTGGTGAATAGCCGCGGCGGTCATGGTCAGGCGAGTAAGGACGCCGCTCTGGCGAAAAGCCCCGGTTGCGCTCACGATCGAGAGAGACAGGTCCTCCTGGCCCATTGAAGCCTCCTGCAAGGCAAATGTCAGCAATCCTTATGCGCCGGCGGCGGGAGTCTAACCCAAGGGCGAGCATGTCATCAATGGTTTGCTAGTAAAAGATAGCAACGATGCTTATCCAGGAACGTTCCTGCCGCTGGCCAGTAACCGCGGGAGATCGGAAAACGTTCAGCGGCGCAATGACACCACCAACTAGAAAACGATGAACCTAATGATACCGCAGAATAGCTAGAACTGTCTAGTACCCTGGCAATGGAACCTTACCAGGCCTGCTCAGCGGTGACATAAAGCCTCGGTCGTAGGATGAGCGCCTATAAACGTCCCTGCTATCCCGTAGGGGCCCGCCATAAAATTGGTCCCTCGGAGACTTAGGACCATCATAGGCGTGCCGGCCGTGCCCCGGACCCCGCTGGCCACGTTGCCAAGGCTCCCCGTCCATGGCAACTTCTGAACCTGGGCTGCTACCACGTTAATAGCCTGTCCATAGAAATTCCCCGTAGCATGTATAAGAGTGTGCTTACAAAAGGGGGCCGGAGAGCGTCACCTTAACACATCCTTTAATGACCGCCAATGAATGCACACCCACCTATGAACGCGAACGCCCGAAACTGCTTTGGGTGCAGGAGCGTCCTGCCTTCATAGCGGAGGACGCGCCGACAGCGCAACTCCTGGGCGCCAACGTAGGGACGGTGTACCGCGGTAACAGCCGCGAAGAACTGTGCCCTTTACGCAAAATATCCCTAGCCTCCTACTCCCTACGTCCTACAAAGTGCTAAGCAAGAATGAAATGCCCTTGGAAAGGCGCCAGCGCACAGCGGCTCGTGTTCTATTCGGTTGTCGTCCAATCATTTGCGCGTCTCCACCTTTCTTATGTTGTGCATGTTCAGAATCTGTATACGTTCGCCTGAGGTTGTCCGAGGCGATTCCCCACCGCATTGTACTGCTCATGCCGTACTATAGAGCTCCAATCTTGTCGCCTTATGCCCGCTTACGCCACCGCTAAGTTATCCTCCAAGAGCCACAGTTAGTAGGGCCACTCCAGCAACGATGACACTGAGGATGAGGAGAGCGGTACCGAACAACCAAGACAACCGCGGCGCGTATATGATGCCGCTCTTCTTAATGCCTTTCTCCCGTGCATTTTGCAGCCGAGCAAGTAGCGGCTCCTTTAGGCTACTTGTAGGCGTTGCCCGGGCTTGGCCGTCCTCTTCATCAGCCTGTGTAGGGGCAGCAGGCGGCGTTAACCTCTTCCATTGTTGTGGGTAAATTCACTAGCTAGCCAGTCAAGCGCGAGGCCCCAATCGCGCATCCCATAAGGCGCACCTGTGCCTCCTCCTCTAGACGCGCTAGCTCCGTTCGTGAATACTTGAGGATAGCTGCGTTAATCAACAGCAGCCCTGGTAAAAAGAAGATAATGAAGGAGATGCATAGGCCTCCGATGAGGTGCAAGACCAAGCCTAGGTCGGAAACCACCTCCGCCACGCCAGTGCTGCCCAGCACAAACACCAGCGTGAAGGCAACCGACAGCGCTGGCGGCACTCCGGGAGGCAGCGCATTTGCTTCATCGCTGCTGCCGGCGCTGGCAACGGCGTTGGCGGGTTTCACGAGGTGCTCAAAGCCAGCACGGGCCGGGTGGTGGGTGAGCGGGTAGGACCCCAACACGATGAGGCTGACGGCGGCACGTGCAATCTGCAAGGGGGGGAACGTAGGGAATTCAATAAGAGATTGCACGCTCTTTGGTAGCGTTGTAGGGAGCGCCAGGCCGTGTTCTCTAGTGCCAACACGCGCTGCTGCTTGTCACAGCCCAGAAGCCCCATCCCTTAGCTCAGCATAGCGCGTACAAAGGCCACCACCAGTAACAAGCGTTATGTAGCACGCACGGGTACACGACCACCATGCCACTCACAAGCCGGCCCCTCTGCTGCTTAGGAGTGCACATGGATGCTGGTCCTCTCACCTGGACCATGACGTCGTTCTGCGGGAATGACACCAGGATGTTCGAGCTGACGTGGCCCGGGAAGGCCAGGTAGCAGGAGCCGCCCACGATGACGTACGTCAGGAACACGATGCCCGTGCTGCGGTTGGGAACGAGGGGGCAGCCAGATGGCATGTGGGTCAGGGAACCTGCTGCAGTTCGTGGTTCAGTGCACAAGGCATGGCTCTAAACTCTCAGACCCACATTGGAAACGCGGATGGCTTCCGTAAGCAGCCGTGTGCTTTCCTCCTGCTGAAACATCCCTCCCCCGCCTCTCTCCCACTACCGCACCAACTCGCTGTCTCGGTCCTCGCTGCTTGGTTTGGTAACCCCCAAACAACTCCATCGAGGCCCTCCTATCTGCCTTTCATCTCCTCACAGTTAGTTTACCGTATTTACACAGCCCTGTATGTCACGTCACCCCCCACACAGCTGTACAATGTATAGTGGATGGTGCACGTCGCAAGCTCGCATCCCCCCACCCACTCCCCCCACCTGGCCATGATGATGCCCAGCATGCCCACCAGCTTGCGGCTGCCCGGGCGGGGCATGTAGCGGAAGCGGCGGAAGGCGGAGGGGCTGGACGGCAGCACCGGAACCAGCAGACCCGGCGTGGACTGCGAGAGCAGGAGGTAGCGGGGGAAAAGAAAAATGGGAAGGCAGGGGAGGAAATAGGAAGATAGTGAAGGGTGCGGAGGTGAGGACCCACGGGTCTGTTGGTCGGCAGATCCCAAAACAGCGCTCCGGCAGGCCACCGTACGCAGGCGCTCCTCTTCCCTCCCTAGCCGCACCCTCTTCACCCCCCCTTCCGGGCCCCTCGTCCAGGCCTCCCTTTTTACCCCTTCACCCGCCACCCACCTCTAGTTCATGGAAGATGGACACCACGGTGGAGTGGCAGTTGAAGCCGAACACCACGATGGGGATGGCGAACAGGCTGTTGTAATCCAGCGCTAGCAGCCGAACACCCTCCATCAGATGCGGCCGGGACAGCGCGATCTGGGTCGGGTGGGCGGTGGGGGGATGTGCCGCGTTCATGCGCCGGGCATGTGCGCGCGAGGTACAAGGAAAGCACATGTGTCCCTACGTTGCCTTCGCCTTTGCCACCGTAAAGCAGCGCCATTGGCTCGCACGAGAAACGGGACGCCAGCCCCACCCCATGCAAGACGTGGTAGGGCCTTTTTACCTGGTTCGCTCACCCTCTTCCTCCTCCCTCTTCCGACCTCACCTGCATGCCCCTGAACGCCACCAGCCCCGCCCCCACCAGGAAGCCCAGCACCGCCACCTGGTTCATGCGCGCCAGAGAACCCAGCTGCCTGTAGGGGGGGGTTGGGGGGGGGCGTAAGGAGGGAAAGGAGGTAACCAGGCAGACCAGATCCCAGGCAGGCGGGATGTGCCTGGAAAGGTTGGTGAAGCGAACACGGTGGAATGCCCGAGGTGGAAGCGACCACCCGCCGCCTCCGAAACAGCGTAGCGGGGTAGTCTCGACCCCAGCACGACCCAGCACCCCCCCCCGTTCGTCAGTTTCCATTATTTTTACCCCCCCATTGCTTTGCCCTAACTTGTGGTCTCCTATGGTTTGGTATGGTCGTTGACCCCCCGCACCTGGGCAGGCACATGGGCAGCATGACGCCCGCCCCCAGCGCCGCTATGATGTGGTGCCGGTTGGCGGCCCACGCAGGCAGCCCGGCAGCAGCCGCCAGGGAGCTCAGGTTGTCACCCAGGATGATCTGAGGAGGAGGAGGAGGGGGGCGAGGAGAGGAGGAGAGGGGTTAAGACGGCGGGGTGAGGGGTGGCAGCGCAGGAAGCAGGCCTCGTCCCTCTGCTCCCGCCGCCCTACGACCTCGGCACCTCAGGCTCTCATCTGCTCATGTATGCCCTCTCGTCCCTCCCATGCTGCTTCCCCCCTATGTACCATAAAACCTGGTTCCTTGCTTCCCGATCTCACCATGCACCCCGGCTCCCTCCCCGCGGTGTGCTGGCACCGGTATCAACATTAACACCGCAACTATAGTTGAATTCGCAATGCCCCCCACTCGCTCACCAGATACGCTACACACGCTCCAAACATGGCCACCACCAGCACCGCACTCAGCAGCGCTGCCAGCTTGCGACCCAGCGCCCGCCGCACCAGCTCCACGTACGTGCGTGCCGTGTAGCGCTCCGCAAACTTGGACAGCACGTACAGCGTGAGAGCCTCCGTGGTGCCGACTGCCAGGCAGAGCAGCAGGCCGCCTAGCAAGCCTGCAGGAAGGATGCAGGCGGGGTGCGAAGTTCGTAGCGAGAGTTGGAAGGTTCGTAAGTAGCAGCTGCTACGAAGGTCGCGGCGGGGTATGTCGACCTGCCAAACCCTAAAGCAGAAAGGCGGTTCTCGAGTAACAAAATAACAAGACGCATCTTGGAAGCAGGGAGTAGTAAGGTTAAGGGAGTGCCCAACTGCCAGCCGAGAGGAATGGACGCATGTGGGCGTGTATATATCGCCTAGAGGAAATGCATCACCCTGCTTCCTGACAAGTGTGGCAAGTAATCGTAATCGCACCAACGCTTAGCTTAGTTTACAATATATATAGTTGAGAGCCGGCCACGTGGTGCACACTCACCACTGGCTTGGAAAGCAAACGGTAACGACAGAACACCCGCGCCCACAGTCGAATTAGCCATGACGAAGACGGAGCTGACAGCGCTGGATCCGGGGTGGAGAACTGTGACTTCGTCATCATCGTGGTTGTCACCAATACGCACAGGCGCGGGCGGCGGGAGCGGTGCTGGAGGGCCAGGATCGCCATGATAAGACGACAGCACAAACACCGCTCCTTCAGTTTCCTTCCGTTCGTGCTCCACGAAGGCGGATGCTGTCTGGGATGCTTCCCCGCTGTTTGGCGCAGCCATAGATCCTTCCATATTTGCGTGGACCAGGTTGAGAGTCTACAAACTATAAATGATAACACTTCGTGGCCTGAACTTTTACCTGCCGTTCATCAGTCCTTTCACCCACGTGACCGTTGTCCGGAACCGATAATCGACGGACGTATATCCGCAGATTGTCCTTTTTCCTTCAACTGGTGCAGTCATTACACCGTCGCACTTCACACTTTTATAGCTCTGTGCTTGTTTCCATTCGTGGGCAAAGCCCCAACATCCATTGTTCTAGAAGGCCTTGGCTGGTCGTTCTCGATATTTCAACGCAGCTTTTAGAAATGTTGACGTCTAATAAGAAACGAAAGCTGCAGCATGGATTGGATACAGCGCCAAAGGCGGCCAAGCCCGCACGCGCCGACGGCAAGTCGCCTGTGAACCTGGACTCTCGTTTCCAAATGGACAGCGACTTTTCGGAATCGGACGATGAACACGGCCACGATGCACCTAAAACCGCTGGTCGGGGGCCGCGTCCATTGCTATCCATGGCTGCCACGCCATCTGCGAGGACCGCTGCAACTCCAGCAACAGCTAAGACGGCGCGAAAGCAGGCCTCAAAGCGTACCCCAGCCCCAGAAAAGCAAACGGAGGCTACTGGCGACGACGGAAAGCTTGCTGGGGACGATACGGCAGTCCAGGATGGCAAGACAGATGGTGGCGCAGGGGCGGGGCCCCGCAGCGGCGATGCCGAGGACCGGGACCCCGATCAGCAGCAGGCGTTGGGAGCGGCCCCAGGGGGCGATACCTCTGGCGCAGCTGATGGCGCAGGCGAGGAAGGAACATCGGGCAGTGGCGAGGAAGGCGCATCGGGCAGTGGCGACGAAGGGCAAGAGCAGCAGCCGCAGCAGCAGGAGGAGGAGGGCCAGCAGCGGAAGGCGAAGAAGGTGCTGTCCAAGCGGAAATTGGAACGCGTGAAGGAGGCCAGTGACCGGTGAGTGTGGGGAGTTTCAAGTCGCCCCCCTGGCGTGCCTCCACTACCTCTTGCCAATCCCTTCTCCAAGCTCGCTGCTATACACCTGAAGGCCCACATCGTCCTTCGTTCCGCCGTCCCGTCTCTCCACGCCGCCCCTACCTTCTCGCTCCCCTGCCTCCTCTCTCCCGCCCTCCCTCCCTCCCCGGCTCAACTCAATTGCATCCATTCGTCATCCGGATCTTCACCTCACAAGCTGCCGTTATCGTTCCCAACTTGGCCTTACCGGTTTTCATTCTCCCTCCCCCCCTCTCTCCCTCCCCCCCTCCCTCCCTTCCCCAGTCGCGGCATCGTGTACGTCTCCCGCATCCCGCCCCACATGAAGCCCCACAAGCTGCGGCAGCTGCTGGAGCCCTTTGGCGAGCTGGGCCGGGTGTACTGCGCGCCGGAGGACCCCTCGCTGCGGCGCATGCGCAAGAAGAAGGGCGGTAACTCGGGTGAGCGGGTCCTTGCGGCTCCTGGTGGCAGAGGGACCTCTTGATAGAGGGAAGACAGTGCCGTGTAGCCATGCGACAGGGCTGCACCAGGGCTCCATGGGTCAGCGTTGGCTAGGGTGGGTGGCGATTGAGCCAGATACTCCCTGCTCATGTTTCTCCTGTTGCCAACCCTGCTACTCCTGCCGCTCTTGCTCCCAGGCAAGAACTTCACGGAGGGGTGGGTGGAGTTCGAAGACAAGCGCCGGGCCAAGCGCGCCGCCCTAGCGCTCAACGGGCAGCCCATGGGCGGCTCCAAGCGCTCCGCCTACCACTACGACCTCTGGACCATCAAGTGGGTGCGCGAGTGGGCGCTGCGGGCGGCTGGGGGGGCACATGGGGGCGGAGGGGCATGCGGATAAAGGCTCGGAAGGGGGATAAATGATAAGAACAGCAACGGAGTCCTAACTCCGGCCCCCTCCCCGGGGGGGTGGAGATACCAGCAGGAGAAACCAGGCCTTGTAACAAGGCGAGCCGCCACCACCGTGCCACAGCCTGGCTGCAGAAGAGGAAGGGAAGGGGATGTGTGCTGCATGCAAGCGCGCCGGCGCACCCCACTGCATGTAGGCTTACGTGTAGGCACGCTTAAGGTTTCTACCTTCCTAGCCCCCAAGCGCCGCACAGTGTGTAAGCACCGCTGTCCATTTCCCCTTCCTTACCTTCCCCGTTCGATAATTTGCCTAATATTACCCCGCGTGTGCCCCTGCCGGAACTCCCCGCCCCCCAGGTACCTTCCCAAGTTCAAGTGGGACACGCTGACGGAGGAAATCAACTACCAGCGGGCGGTGCGCGAGCAGCGGCTGGTGGCGGAGATCAGCGCGGCCAAGCGGGAGCGCGACTTCTACCTGTCCAGGTGGGTGGTTGGGAGGGGGGGGGGAGGAGGGGGTGCGAGGCGGGCGTGGTGTGGGCATGGTGTGGGTGCGGGAGTGGGGAGCAGCAGGGGTCACAGCGGCTGGTTTGGCACGAGTTGTGTGTAGGCGGCTTAAGAAGCCACTGCCGCTGCGTTGGGAGGTCTTGCGTGGGGGTGCTTGCTGGGAGGTGTTGTTGGGAGGAGGAGATGATGGATTGGATGGATCGGCTATCACGTGCTCGTGTCCTTCCCGCCCTATACGGTACCATGTGTCCCTACGTTCCCCACGTGAACCAACGCACCACCTGCTGCTCGTACCAACACCCCAGGGTGGACAAGGCGAAGGCCATCGACGCTATCCAGGAGCGCCGCGCCAAGAAGGAACAGCAGCAGCAGCAGCAACCGGGAGCAACAGGCGGGGACGGGGCACAGCCCGACTCATCCGCGCCGCAAAGGCAGCAGCCAGCCGAGCAGAACGGCGCTGGGGCAGCTGCGGCTGCGGACAAGGGCAAGGCAGGGGGCGGCAAGGGCCCGCGGTTCGAGCGGCATTTCGGTCAGCGTCGCGCCAAGGCGGATCCCGTGCTTGACGACCGGGCGCCTGTGCTTGCGGATGATTTGCTGGGGCTGCTGGGACGCAGGAAGTAGGGGCAGTGGTGCGGCAGGGGCAGTAACAGTAGGAGGGGCAGAAACAGTAGCAGGGACAGCAGTAGGAGGGGCAGTAGTTGCAGCAGGGGCAGTAGTAGCAGGGGTGTACCTACTCTCCCTCCAGTAATTGATGGAGGGGGATTGCTAGCAGCAGCAGTAGCGATAATAGTTGTGGGGCTTGGTTTCTTCCTCTCGGGGCTGTCGGTGTATGCCGCCCTTCCGCAGGGTAGTGGGTAGTTGGGTAGCTACTCAGCAGTGTCTTGCGTGTGCTTTGGCAGGCGTTGGAATTCTTGTGCGTTGTTCCTGCTATTACGAGAATGGACCGGCGCATGGGACTTATAAAAGCGGGGGCGGACGTAACAGTGGTTTCGGCAGAGGAATGCCACGTGTGAGCAGGCGGTGGCGGCAGCATGCTAGCCAGGGTCACACTACCGTAGTTAGGGTCACACAGACTCCAGTGTCTTCGGTGGAAGCAGCGGAGGGCTGTAGGCGGATACAGCAGCGCACGTGAGATGACTTCGGGCAAGCTGAACTTGCACGGGAAAGTACTACAACCCCCATCCTAGCACGTAGCACTCGGGAGGGCCACCTGCTGTTGCGGGGCTTGGCGCCAGCTGGGGCATCTCATTGGTGAAACGACTCAACTTTAGGCATCACGCTCGGTCCTCGGATTTTATCCTTTGGGGGCGTGGAAATTGCACGAAAACCACAGCGAGTATGCTTCCGAATGGCTGAGAGGTGCAAGCCGCTTCCTCTTGACGTGCAAAGGAGGAGGGTTCGGTGTACGGCAGCGATCAGCGAGGTCGTTGGGTAGTTGCGTCATGTCACGCAATCAGTGTTACCGCCTATCCTCGCCAGGAATTGCGTTTCGCTTACTATGCTTGTGTATATTCAAGAGAAACGATTGGTATGCGTTGCGTTCATGGTCTTCAATGCGATACAGAGCTGCATAAGGCCCCCCGTGGGATCAAACAAGGTCAACGTCAACGATTTTGCGTACCGTCACGCCCATCACTTACATTGCTAGCCTTATTTGCGGTCTTCGTCGGAGGACACAGCGAGCGAATCGACTTACCGGTATCACAGCAGTGCCGACGTCACAAACCCACCGTTTCCGCGGACGATGAATACGTTTAATAGGCAGAACTCCTATTAATAGTTAAACCTACATAGTATCTGTCTTATACACGTAGATTGAGAGAATTGCACTCGCTCGCAAGCCCAATGACGTCGTTCCAAGCTTTACACCGCACTCGAGGACACGCCGGGGCACGTGCTAGCTCGCGTTTTCCTCAGTGCCGTCACCGATTTTCGCCTGTGTGGTGCAGCGCCAAGGCAAGCGACCTTGTTTCCTTTTACTTGCCTTCGTCGTTCGTCAATGACGTCGAGCTTAAAGCCTTCCTGACGCCGACGCTAGCCGTTTTCACTTATAACAATTGTGACCGCGTAATTATCTCGGTGTTTGGTCGTCTCCTTCTTTGCTGTTATGACGCAGCCAGACGTTGCGGAACAAGCCACGTCGGCTTTGGCGCCTGCAGCCGGCACCGATGACTCAAAGCCAGCATCTAACCGACCACGCGCGACATTCAAGGCCAGCAAGCTAGGCCGTCAGCCAATTGTGGAGGCGCAGAGGCCGCTAGGTGGGTCTCCCCGGGCCACCAACTGACGGCGACAGAGTGTGCGTGACGTAACTCCCCACCACCTGTCGTAACGCTTGCCGCAACGTTCCCTGTACTGCAAACCTGTACTGGCATCATCGGAAGCAATGGCGCCCAGCGGCGCTCAACATGTGCTCTAGCCAACCACAGCGCAAGGGAACCGAACCCTGAAGGATGGGTTTCTTCCCTTAAGAACCTTAGTCATCGGTCTAAGTTACATATTACATGGCTTACACCTCTCCGCTTCCCTCCTCTCCTTGTCCCCCCCCACCGGCCCTGCTGCTCCCCTTTCCCTGTCCAGCCGAGTACATGTCGCTCCCCGCCAGCCAGTACTCGGTGCTGGATGCGCGCCGCATTGAGCGAGTGGACGATGACACCTTCAGATGCTACGGTGCGGCTGCCCCCTAGGCCCCACAGCCCCCATGTGCGTGACTTCAGCCTTGCGAATGGGTATCCTGTCCGGTTGACTGCCTGCCTGCTTACCGTTGCATGTGGGCAATCATGCGTACGGAAGGACGCCTCGCATGCTCTCCCAAGTGCCGACGCGCCAAAATTCCCTCGGTTGCCGCTGCAGCCACCGCCGCTGCTAGCTCTATACCAAAGAGGGCAGTGCTACTTCCGCATCCCAGGGATCCAACTCTGGCTGGTGTGCGCATGACAGACATGCCGCTCTGCTGCCGCAAAACCCCAATTCAATCCACCCAGCACCCATTCCAATCACCCAGCGCCCACCTGGGCACCCACCCTGCCCTTCTCCTCCTCTTCCCCAGTTGGCGAGCTGCGCTTCTTCTCGTGGAGTGTGGAGCCGGTGATCACTGTGTCAGTGACGGTGGAGCCGGAGGAGGGCGGCTGCACCATACGGCTGCTGGGGTGCAAGGTGGGCCCGGACGGGGAAGTTAGGGAGGACAAACGGAAGTTCTCAGATCTGTTGAAGCTTGGAAAAGGCAGGCAAAGAGCCGGTGTAGCCATTGCAGTAGCGTGGAAGGGAGAACAGGGAAGGGATGTATGCTGCAATTTTGTAGGAGGAATCGCATCAGTGCCGCTTCGCCTGACAAGGACTCTCTTTCCTCTCCCCCCGTGGGTCTTCTTTCCACCTGCCCCTGCTATCTTGCAGCTTCAAGGCAGTCCCTTTGTGGAGGAGATTAACGACAAATTCACAGCTACCATGACTAACGTCGTACGACACAGAAGCATACAGGGAGCTGACGAGGAAGCGGAGGACATCGTCGCGGCGGCTCAGGCAGCATCAGAATCAGGCGGGTCTGGAGAGGCGGAGGGAGGCGGCGGGCAAGGGACGCAACCGAGTATCAGCAGTGGCGGCAGTAGCGAAGGAGAAGCTGCTTCCGAACCCGCTGGCCCTGCCTCAACACGAGAAATCGTGAGCGACACGACAATCGAGGTGGGCACGGCACCGTACGTGAGGAGGACGTACGACACCAGGAAACCCCGCAGCTTGCCCGCTTGGAAGTTCCTCTCACCCCACCACCCGCACCGCCTCCCTCATCGCACGCACACGGAAAACACCCTCCCATCCATGCACGCCAATGACCCCTCATTCGTATCCGTGCAACGGCATGCAACAGTTCAGCAGGCCAGCACTTACCTGTCAATCCAAACCCCCAAAACCCCGGCACCCCCGTGCGCCCTTCTGCTTCACCTCCTGCACACCCGCCCCGCCCCCAGGTGTGTGTGGAGGTTCCCCGCTGGTGCGGTTTCCTGCCTGTGTCCTCCCTGGAGGGTGCGGGCAGCGGGGTGCTGCAGGGGCTGCTGGCCGCCATGGTCCCGCGCTTCCTGGCGCAACTGAGGCAGGACTACGAGCGCTGGGCGGCAGGGGACGAGTCGAGGAAGCCGGTGGGGGAGATGTGAGGGGGGGCTGGGTGCTGGGGTGTGGGTTGGGGGAGGAGTTGGACTGGTTGGGAGGAAGAGGAGGGTAGAAGGGGGTTGGGATGGAAGGGGGTGCGAAAGTGTATGAAGCTAGGTTGGAGCAGAAAGGTTGAGGACTTGAGATAGCGGAGGCCGGTGGGGGGGGCTGTTTGGGTTCTGCAAACCCTGGTTGTTATGCTGGTTGGGCTAAGGTGTTGTGTGAGGACGTTGAGCTAGGTAGGCTGAGAGGATTTGCGAGGGGGTTACTGTGACAAGGCGGAGTAAGGGTGTGGATGCGACTGGGTACACACTGCCGGTATTAGGAGGCAAGTATGTGGCAGGTGCTAAGATACCTGGCCGCGAGTGTGGGAAATGACATGCCTCAACCATTTCACATGGTGACTATTCCCACAGATTCAAGGGCAGCAAAGCCACAGCAGCATGGATGGCCCGACATTGTGTTAACCTCCTTACAGTTAGCAGGAGTACAGGCGTCCTTACACGAGGACAGCAAACACAGCAAGCGAGCGAGCGCGATAGCAACGCGCAAACAGTCAAATGAAGTCTGGCGAAGGCTGACCACCGGCCGCAACCCAACCACCGAACCACAAACCCAACGGAGCGCGAAGGAGCCGCCTCAACCCAGAAGACAACCGTAAACCCCAAGGACGCCTGCCAGCCCCTGCATTCCCGAAACAAAGCCAGCACGGAGCGAACGCAGCGGGTAAAAACGGGAACAGGGGCGCACAAGGGCAAAAACCCCGCTGCAGCTCCGGCCAGCGAACTAATTAAGTTGGCAGGCGACCAAAAAGTCAAAAATTTTTCCAGGCAACCAACCGACGAGTACCCAGCAACCCCCAGCAACATCCATGCACCGAATCCCTATTTCCCGTACCAACGACTAACAATAGCTAGACAGATAGCACGCACCAGCGTTTTCTTCTGCATGGCGTAGACACAGATGAAGGCCTTAGCCATCTGCCAACGTCGACAATTCCGGTGCTTTACATCACATCATTCATACCCGCGAGCCCGCATCACACCCGTGCAACCCTAGGTACATGCCTTCCCTTCCAGCCCCCACAACTCTCAACGGCCAAGCCTCGGGCCTCTCCCTTGTGGGTTCTGCATGCTATAGAGTGTAGGCTGCCAGCGGACCAGCATCCCCTGCATTTGACTCGAGCGCATTCTCTTTCATGCAAACCATTAAGAGGAGATGTAGTGCCAAGCCAAAACATTCCTCGGGGTAAAATTGCTTCGCCCCTTTACTCCACTTGGATAGTTGTCGTGGACCAGCAGCTCACAACCCACCATCCTTCCCATCTACAGCTGCACCTGGAACGGCGGCGGGCAGGTTAGCTGCTCCCAGAGCTCCAGCAGCTGCCGCAGCCACTCCTCCTCGCCCACCTGGCGCCTGGCGGCTGCATCGTCCCACAGCGACTGCAGCACCTGTTAGTTGGGAGGAAACATGAAGGAGTCCCCGGGGTAGAGTTGTGTTGGTAGACGTCAGCAAGAGGTGGCAACAGCACAGCGAAAAGAGACGCAGCGAAACATCACAGCCGCGCCAACCCCTTCTTGCACGTCCCAGCGCCAACCCCTTCTTGCTCGTCCCAGCGCCTTCGTTCCCAAGGCTGCTAACCCATGCCATCTCAAACCATCCACATGTACGCTCACCTGCTTCAGAGCCGCGTTGTACAGTTCCCTCGCGCCAATCCGCGCGCCAATCCAATGAGCACTCTGCAACGCATCCTGGTGGACCACCCGGAGCACTTCCAGGCTGCCCCCCTCCCTGGCCGCCGCAGCCCTGGCCGCGGCCTCCACCACATCCGCCCCGTGCTCCTTAGCGCACTCCAGCAGCACGGCGCCAACACCCCATGCGGCCGGTGGGAGGGGCTTGTAGGCCAGCAGCTGCTTGGGGGCGCTGCTGCTGCTGGGGCCGCCGCTGGGGCCACCGCCGGAGCCGCCGCTGGGGCCACCGCCGGAGCCGCCGCTGGGACCGCCGCTGCTTGCAGCCTGTTGCGCCTGTTCGCCCAGCTGCCGCATGAATGCACGCAAGCTGTCCGCAGTGCCGGCCACGTTTCGCATCATGGGGCCCCTCAGCAGCAGATACTCCGTTTGCATGTCATCCGGCGGTGCCAGCATGCGCCGCAACATGGCCTCAGCTGCCTCGGGGGCTGAAGGAACGTGCGGTGGCGGTGGCGGCGGCGGCGGCGGCGGCTCGGAGACGGCAACTGAGGAGGGGGGCGTCAGGGCGGCTGCTTCTGCCAGCAGGTACGGAGGCAGCTCCTGTGAGCGGAGCTCGATGCTGACGCACTCACCGACAAAAAATACGTAACTGTTCAGCAGCAGCATTTGCGGCTTGCCCAGCAGCCGCATGGCGGCCAGCGCCGAGCTGGGGGTGCAGGCAGTTAGGCTTCTCACATCCACAACCTTGCAGCGGCCCGCCAGCTCCAGCAGCAGGCGGAACTCTGGCGCCTCTTCTGGGTTATAAGCGACGGAGACGCTGGTCAAAGTGAGGTAGGGCAGCGGGCCGCTTGCTGCAGGGCAGTCCTGCAGCAGCCCAAGAAGGGGCTTAATCTCAGACAAGCAAATTTCTTTGGCCTGGCCGTTGTTGAGCCTGGCAACTAGCACGTTACAATCCCAAATGTTGTAAATGCCGACAGTACGCAACTCCAGGTCCTCCAGATCCGTTGGCAGGCTCCCCAGCAGCTGCTGCAGGGCCCGGTAGCAAGCCGTATTTCGATCAGTTCCCTCCAGCTGGCAAAAGCCCAGGGAAAGCCGCCTCAGCTTTCGCAGCCGCACAATGCTGGCTGCGGCTGCTTCAGTCAACCAGTAGCCGCCACCATCATTGGGGGGGAAGGCCAACACTAGCCGCTCCAGGCTGCCTGCCAGGCTGCTCACACCCTCCAGCAGCCTCGCCACGCCCATATCGTCCTGTGGTGCAAGTTCGCCCTGCAATGCCATGCTTTCCAGCTTTTTCAGCTGCAGAATGCTGGCAACGCCAGCTTCGCTTAGGCGGCCCGACCCACGGGCCACCGTGACATCCAGGTGCTTCAGGCTGCCCGCCAGTGCTCCCACGTGCTCCAGAGCGGCCCCGTACGGCAGCTTCAGGGTCTCTAGGTACGGCAGCCCTGCCAGCGCTGCCATCATCTGCTGCTGCTGCAGGGGGTCGTACGACATGACCGGCGCCAGACCGCTCAAGTCCAGCTCACGAACCGCTGGGAGAAGCTGGGTGAGCGACGTGCACATGGGGCCCTCCTGGATCTTCCGGTGCATCTCCTGGCCTCCTGGGGCCCGGCCTGCGTCCAGATGCGTGATGCGCTGAAGTGCTTCCGCTGGCTGACCGGTAAAGGGCATCAGCAGGACGCGGCTTGTGTAATCTTGCAAGTCAGGGAGTTGCTCCCAGTCAAGGATGACTGAGGAGCACAGAGGCCAGCGTGCTAGCGGGGGCAGGTGACCCGATTCCCCGAGCCCTGCAGTAGCGGCGCAGAGCCGCAGGTGCGCGATGCGAACGCTGCCATCCAGGATATACCGGAAGCTTTGGCATGACAGACGTGCGGCTGCAATGTCCTTGCCATCGAGTGCGTCATAAAGGGTGTCCGCAGCCTCAGCCGAAAACGCTTGACGCACGATATCGAAGGCTGGCTCGGGCGCGTCGGACATCCTCGGTTCTCGGTGAGCGTGTGGCTTTGAAAGCGAGTAATTGACCGTTACAAAAGTGCTGGGGCGCCAAGGCTGCCTGCTTCTCCTGGTTTCTTTGCCTTAGTAACGGTATCTATGCATTGAATTAGAGCCAAGGTGCGGGGTTACTGGGATGGACTGGAAGCGGTGATGCAAGGCTTGTGTTACCGATTTGCGGACTGTTGCGTAGGTGTTCGTGTCTTGTCGGGTTCAGCTTACGTACGCAGCTTGCTTTTTCCGCACGTAAGGTACACTGGAGGACCGGCAAAAACGGAAGAAACTGTATGTGCATAGGTCATGGCGGCAGGGAGGGAGAGGGCGTGTAGTCGAACCTGTCATTTCGCAATCGGTGGGTCTATCTGTCCAAGGATTGCTATTGGAGCAACCGTCATGCACCGATACTATCAAGGTTTGACTGGCATGAAGAGTAAGGGTAGCGGCACCTTTTCGCTCGCGCTCTGTCCAAGATTGGCTGGCCAGGGGTTGATTAACTTGCAGCGACCTTGGCTGTCGTTGACTGTACGGCACCGTTGACTGTTCGAAGGTTGGATAGGCGCCAACTGGCTTAGTAAAGCTGTCAACATACCGCGACACATAATTCTCATTGATATAACTTGATAATTTTGCGTTTCGCACTGTTTCGCACAAAAGTTTCGAGTAGCTGGTTTTTTTGCAGTTCAGCCCATACGCAACACCACTCGCATAGGTCATACCTGGAAATAAGTAACATTAGTTAGAAGTAAAGACATGTCCACAAAGAAACCTCAGCCTCAAAAGCCTCAGGACGACGATGACGATGATGAGGACGACGACGATGAGGAGGAAGACGAGGACGAGGATGAGGACGACGACGAGGAGGAGGAAGATGAAGACGATGAGGATGACGAGGAGGAGGACGATAAAGAGGAGACAACCAGGCCCTCACCGAAAGGTCGGCCCCGACCAGTCACAGCTCGGCCTCGTCCCGCCCCCCGACCCGCTGTGCCATCCCCGTCCCCAACCCCACCCACCCCACCGACACCGCCTCCACCTGCTGAACCTGTCTACCGTGTGATGACTCCTCAACAGGTCAAGGAAGGTGCGTGGTGCACCGTTGGTTGCCTCCGCTGACTCAGTGGTTGGCGCTGCACCTCATGAGACACAACATGGGGAAACCAGCCCATGTAGCCTGTGGTGGACGAAGTTCGCCCTGTCGTTAAACAAGCTTCGCAACTTCCAAGCCAGCCTTTTCCCCATGTGTGCCCCGGCCCCGGCCTGGTCCCATCTTCAACACCGCAACCACAGAGCGCCTGAAGGCCCTTACCGCAGCCCACAAAGAAGCCCTTCGGCAACTGGCCCTGGAACGGCAGCAAATCGTACAACAGCAGGCTCTACACGGTACGACAAGCGCGCTGGCTGCTACTGCTGGAACCACACGGCTTTACGGCACCGGCTCCTCAGCCTCATCCTCAACCGCAGCAGCGGGAGCACCGCCCGGGTCGGCGGCGTCCACGTTGGCCGTGGGTCGAGCGCCGCCGCTGTGGCGACCGCCCTCTAATGCCGAGTCCCGGGAGACCCGAGCGGCGGCTCGAGCGGTGCTGATAGAGCAGCTGCAGGTCAGCATGTGTTAAAAAGGCTGGCCGCATGTCAGCATGTGTGTATGTACTGCCGCACACACACCGTGAAAGGCATCGTAGTCCATGTGCATAGGGGCGACCGAGAACTTTATAGTCCAGGATAGCTTTATAGGGCTTGTAGCAGCTGCGCCGTGTGGGAAATGACATGCACCGAATTCCAACTTGCCGTATCAACGACTAACGGTAACCGGATACCGGTATTACGCACCGTGAAGGCGAAGGCGTGCGAAGGCGTTTGCCATCTGCCAACGCCGGCAACTCGACAATTCCGGTGTTTGGTCCTTAGCAGTTGCCTATCGATGTGAAGAGCTGAGCGGAACTGAGTGAGCCGGGCAGCAGGATGACTGGACCTTACACGAGGCCGACCACCGGCCGCAGCCCAACCAACAGCAACCACCGAACCACAAACCCAACGTAGCGCGAGGGTGTCGCTTGAGCCGCCTCAACCCAGAAGACAACCATAAACCCCAAGGACGTCTGCCAGCCCCTGCATTCCCGAAACAAAACCAGCACGGAGCGAGTGCAGCGGGTAAAAACGGGAACAGGGGCGCACAAGGGCAAAAACCCCGCTGCAGCTCCGGCCAGCACCTAAAGTTGGCAGGCGACCAAAAAGCCAAAACGAACTTCCAGGCAACCAACCGACGAGTACCCAGCAACACCCAGCAACACCCGCCTCAACCAGTTCATGGTCGACGATTCCGGTGCTTTCTATCACACCAATCATGCCCACGAGCTCGCATTACACCCTTGCAACCGTAGGTACATGCCTTCCCTTCCAACCCCCACAACTCTCAACGGCCAAGCCTCGGGCCTTCCCCTCAACAGGTATAGATGCCTCTCCCTTGCGGCATGGCTTCTGCATGCATGCTGTAGAGTGTAGGCTGCCGGCGGACCGGTATCCCCTGCATTTGACTTGTATAAGAGGAGACGTAGTGCCAAGCCAAGACATTGCTCAGGGTAAAACCGCTTCGCCCCTAGCCACCCGCGTTACTCCACTTGGACGGTTGTCGTGGATGCACAGCTCTCAACCCACTACCCCTACCAGCTACAGCAGCACCCCGGCGGCAGATCGCTCAGCTGCTCCCAGAGCTCCACCAGCTGCCGCAGCCACTCCTCCTCGCCCACCCGGCACCTGGCGGCTGCATCGTCCCACAGCGACTGCAGCACCTGTTAGTTGGGAAGAAGCATGAAGGAGTCCCCGGGGTAGGGTTGTGCCAGTTTGTAGACGTCAGCAAGGGGTGGCAACAGCACAGCGAAAAGAGCTGCAGCAAAGCGTCACAGCCGCGCCCATTCAACCCCTTCTTGCTTGCCCCAGCGCCTTCGTTCCCAAGGCTGCTAACCCATGCCAAATCAAACCATCCACATGTACGCTCACCTGCTGCAGAGGCGCGTTGTACAGTTCCCTCGCGCCAATCCAATGAGCACTCTGCAACGCATCCTGGTGGATCACCCGGAGGACTTCCAGGCTGCCCCCCTCCCTGGCCGCCACAGCCCTGGCCGCAGCCTCCACCACCTCCGCCTCGTGCCCCCTAGCGCACTCCAGCAGCACGGTGCCAACACCCCAGGCGGCCGGTGGGAGGGACCGGTATGCCAGCAGCGGCTTGGGGGCGCTGCTGCTGCTGGGGCCGCCACCGGAGCCGCCGCTGGTGGGACCGCCACTGCTGGCAGCCTGTTGCGCCTGTTCGCCCAGCCGCTGTATGAATGCTAGCAACCTGTTCGCAGTGCCGGCCACGTTTTGCATCATGGGCCCCCTCAGCAGCAGGAACCTCGTCCGCATGCCATCCGGCGGTGCCAGCATGCGCCGCAGCATGGCCTCAGCTGCCTCGGGGGCTGAAGGAACGTGCGGCGGTGGCGGCGGCTGCTGGGAGACGGCAGCCGAGGAGGGGGGCGGCTGGGCGGCTGGTTCTGCCAGCAGGTACGGAGGCAGCACCTGTGAGCGGAGCTCGAGACTGGCGCTCACAAGGGAACCGTGCCTGTTCCTCTGCAGACAGAGCACTCGTGGCTTGCCCAGCAGCCGCATGGCGGCCAGGGCCGAGCTGGGGGTGCAGGCATGTAGAGTTCCCACATCCACAACCTTGCAGCGTCCCGCCAGCTCCAGCAGCAGGCGGAACTCTGGCGCCTCTTCAGCGCCCTGCATGTCATCAGGAACGGAGATTTTGTGCAAACTGAGGTAGGACAGCGGGCCGCTTGCTGCAGGGCAGCCCTGCAGCAGCCCAAGAAGGGGCATAATGTGAGACAAGCAGATTTCTTTGGCCTGGCCGTTGTGGAGCCTGGCAATTAGCACGAAATTAACGTGAAAGCCAGTACGCAACTCCAGGTCCTCCAGATCTGGCGGCAGGCTTCCCATCAGCTGCTGCAGGGCCTGGTAGCAAACATTCCAACCAATTGGACCTCTTCCATCCAGCTGGCCCAGGGAAAGCTGCCTCAGCTTTCGCAGCCGCACAATGCTGGCTGCTGCTGCTTCAGTCAACCAGTAGGCGCCGCCATTAAGGGAGGGGCGGAAGGTCAACACTAGCCGCTCCAGGCTGCCTGCCAGGCTGCTCACACCCTCCAGCAGCCGCACGACGCCCATACTGTCCTGTGGTGCAAGTTCGCCCTGAACTGCCATGCTTTCCAGCTTTCTCAGCTGCAGAATGCTGGCAACGCCAGCTTCGCTTAAGCGGCCCGACCCACGGGTCATCGTAATATCCAGATGCCTCAGGCTGCCCGCCAGTGCTCCCACGTGCTCCAGGGCAGCCCCGTACGGCAGCTTCAGGGTCTCTAGGTACGGCAGCCCTGCCAGCGCTGCCATCATCTGCTGCTGCTGCAGGGGGTCGTACGACATGACCGGCGCCAGACCGCTCAAGTCCAGCTCACGGAGCGCTGGGAGAAGCTGGGTGAGCGACGTGCACATGGGGCCCTCCTGGATCTTCCGGTGCATCTCCTGGCCTCGTGGGGCCCGGCCTGCGTCCAGATGCGTGATGCGCTGAAGTTCACTGATGAGTTTCGCTGACTGACCGGTAAAGGGCATCAGCAGGAGGCTTGCGATGTCTTGCGAGTCAGGGAGTCCCTCCCAGTGGAGGATGACTGAGGAGCATTGGGGCCAGCGTGCTAGCGGGGGCAGGTGACCCGATTCCCCGAGCCCTGCAGTAGCGGCGCAGAGCCGCAGGTGCGCGATGCGAACGCTGCCATCCAGGATATACCGGAAGCTTTGGCATGACAGACGTGCGGCTGCAATGTCCTTGCCATCGAGTGCGTCATAAAGGGTGTCCGCAGCCTCAGCCGAAAACGCTCGACGCACGATATCGAAGGCTGGCTCGGGCGCGTCGGACATCCTCGGTTCTCGGTGAGCGTGTGGCTTTGAAAGCGAGTAATTGACCGTTACAAAAGTGCTGGGGCGCCAAGGCTGCCTGCTTCTCCTGGTTTCTTTGCCTTAGTAACGGTATCTATGCATCGACTTAAAGCCAAGGTGCTGGGTTACTGGGATGGACTGGAAGCGGTGATGCAAGGCTTGTGCCACCGATTTGCGGACTGTTGCGTAGGTGTCCGTGTCTAGTCGGGTTCAGCTTATGTGCGCAGCTTGCTTTTCCGGTACACGCACGAAAGGTACACTAGAGTACCGACGAAAACGGAAGAGACTGTATGCATAGGTCATGGCGGCAGGGAGGGAGAGGGCGTGTAGTCGAACCTGTCACTTCGCGATCTGTGGGTCTATCTGTCCAAGGATCGCAATTGGGGGCAACCGTCATGCATCGATACTAACAAGTTTTGAGTGTCGTGAAGGGCAAGGGTAGCGGCACCTTTTCGCTCGCGCTCTGTCCAAGAGTGGCTGGCCAGGGGTTGATTAACTTGCAGGGACCTTGGCTGTCGTTGACTGTACGGCAGCATTGACTTTTCGAAGATTGGATAGGCGCCAACTGGCTTAGTAAAGCTGTCAACATACCGCGACACATAATCCTCATTGATAAAATTAGTTAATCCTGCGTTTCGCAAAAAAGTTTCGAGTAGCTGGTTTTTTTGCAGTTCAGCCCATACGCAACACCACTCGCATAGGTCATACCTGGAAATAAGTAACATTAGTTAGAAGTAAAGACATGTCCACAAAGAAACCTCAGCCTCAAAAGCCTCAGGACGACGATGACGATGATGAGGACGACGACGATGAGGAGGAAGACGAGGACGAGGATGAGGACGGCGACGAAGAGGAGGAGGAAGATGAAGACGATGAGGATGACGACGACGAGGAGGAGGAGGACGATAAAGAGGAGACGACCAGGCCCTCGCCAAAAGGTCGCCCCCGACCAGTCACAGCTCGGCCTCGTCCCGCCCCCCGACCCGCTGTGCCATCCCCGTCCCGAACCCCACCCACCCCACCGACACCGCCTCCACCTGCTGAACCTGTATACCGCGTGATGACTCCTCAACAGGTCAAGGAAGGTGCGTGTTGCACCGTTGGTTGCCTCCGCTGACTCAGTGGTTGGCGCTGCACCTCATGAGACACAACATGGGGAAACGAGGACGTATAAACGCCTTGTCGTTAAGCAGTATTTGCAACTTCCAAGCCAGTCTTTCCCCCGCGTGTGTCCCGGCCCCGGCCTGGCCCCCTCTTCAACACCGCAACCACAGAGCGCCTGAAGGCCCTTACCGCAGTCCATAAGGAAGCCCTTCGGCAACTGGCCCTGGAACGGCAGCAAATCGTACGACAGCAGGCTCTGCACGGTACGACAAGCGCGCTGGCTGCTACTGCTGGAACCACGCGGCTTTACGGCACCGGCTCCTCAGCCGCATCCTCAACCGCAGCAGCGGGAGCACCGCCCGGGTCGGCGGCGTCTACGGTGGCAGTGGGTCGAGCGCCGCCGCTGTGGCGCCCGCCCTCTAATGCCGAGTCCCGGGAAACCCGAGCGGCGGCTCGAGCGGTGCTGATAGAGCAGCTGCAGGTCAGCATGTGTTAAAGATGCTGGCCGCATGTCAGCATGTGTGTATGTACTGCCGTACGCACACCGTGAAAGGCATCGTAGTCCATGTGCATAGGGGCGACCGAGAGCTAATTATAGTCGCGGATAGCTTTATAGAGCTTGTAACAGCTGCGCCGAGGTGTTGTAACCGAGGTGAAGCAGGCAGGGAGCCGCACCCTCCCAGGGCCCGAAACTCGCCTGCTGCTTGGAAGAGCACCTGGGGACACGTCGCCCTGCATCCCTTTGCCCTTGGGTAGTAGCAGCAGCAGCTGGGATAACGCAGCCTCCCTCTTTCCACACCCATCGGGGTGCAACCCGTGGGGGAGTCCTGCCACATGCTTAGTAGTTTTCCCTCTTTGCCCGCCGTGGGGGTGCAGGAGGAGCAGCGGGCGGCGGAGGCGGCCTTAGAGGCCTTGAAGCGGGTGGGTCAGGAAAGGGCAGGGGACAGAGGGAGGTGGGGGTGCTATGGGGCATGCTGTGCTGCATGGGCTCATGGGAGCTGGGGTTCATGAGACATGGGGCAGGAGCCCGTGTGGGCGAGTGGGGGTGCGGGCGGTGCTGCTAGGTAGTGCCGCCCTACCTGCTTACACAGCCCCTTACCACCAAATCAACGAAAACGCCTTCCTCTGTCGCTCCGGCCACACCTGTGTGCGATACGGAACGCTACGCGCTGACGGCGGCGGACGTTACCGTTACCGTTACCGTTGTTGCAGGGCAAGTCACTGGTCAACGCTCGGCAGGTGGGCGCCCAAGTGTACGAGCATCAGCAGCGCCAGCGGCAGCTGCAGCTGCAGCGCCAGCAGGAGCTGCTAGAGCTGCGGGAGCAGCAGCAGAAATTAGCCCAACAGCTGGCAGCTCAACAGCGAGCGGAGCAAGAGCAGCAGCAACAGCAACAGCAGCCACCTGTCTCTCCTTCCGGCGACGGGGGCAACACCACCGGCGGTGGAGGCGCTGGCAGAGGTGACGTTGGTGATGGTAGTGGCGGCAGCGACAGCGGAAGGGGGACGACCGCGGCCGCGGGCGAGGACGTGGAGGGTGCTGCTGCCGGCGCGGGTCCTCGTAGCCCGCTTCAGCCGGCCAGTCGTGAGCCCTCGTCTACATCGTC